AGTAGTGGGAAATGTGACCTGCAAGTTGTTAAGTCGACAATCCTTGGGTTAGTCAGCTTGTTTTCTGACATACTTGCCCTGTGTGCCAACTCTATGACTTCTGTGCTGGGAAGAAGTATTTCTTTCTCTGTTCTGACATTCTCAGATGAGTGTTTTAGCCTGTGCCTTCTGCTCTGATCTCTTCACTGGGGTAACCCCATCTGCTATCTCTTCTTCAGATTTGTGAAAACTGTTTAGTGTCTTTTTTGGTGTTCAATGATGTCATGAAACTGTTCCCTACTGTGCATCTTTGTTTTCAGTGCAGTGGGAATTTGGAAGTCAAGGGGTGGTAAACACATGGGTCAAGACCATTGTCATGAACTGGAAGCTGACATTGCTTTGACTGGAAAAGATGTATGAGATAAAAATAGGTAGATGATAGACAGAGAGAGAGAGAGAGAGAAATGCATACATACATAGATAATAGCTAGAAAATAAGAGCTCAGAATAAATATTTTCATACCTATTATTAACTGTAAGAAATCCTAGATACAAGGATAATACCTTCAGTTTTTATTTTCAGAAGCTAAGTATCTTCTATTATGAGATTAATGGTAGGTCGGCAAAATAGTCATGAGAACACAAAAATATTGTCTTCATGTGCAATATTGTGATCTTACTCTGAAGAAGATGCAGTCGTAGTGATATTAATAAGTGGAAACATGGTAATTTTCAGAATTGTAAACTAAACATGGAAAGAATAAACAGAGGCTGATTTCATTAAATATATTAAATCTGGTCAAATAAATTTAAGTGCTTCTTTTTAAAGTACCTTTTTTTGGATAAAAAAGCATGACATTTTTATTGTTAAAATTTGAAAAATAAGTATAAATAAATTAATAAAAATAACTCATAAGCCCTCAGCTAGGAATGACCTTCATTAAATATATAGTGTATTTAATTTCAGAGTTTCTTTCTATACATTTTAAAAAATTAAGATGAATATAAATATATGTTTGTGTACATGTACCCTGTATTCTATTAATTATCCTTTATAAGATTTTTAAAATTTATTAAATAGTCTTTAAAAGCACTCTTGAAATGCCACTCAGTTTTTCATTGTATGTTTATTTTCATTTAATGAAACCCTGACTGTTAGACTTTTGTATTGATTACAGTTTTTCGATATTATAAAAACATTGCAGTAAACATCTTCATAAATGTTTGAGGACATCTGAGATTATTGCTTTTGGTTACATTCCTAGAAGGGAGGTTATTTGGCCATAAAAATGAATCAACATATTTGAGGCTTTTGATAGATATTGCAAAATTACCCTCAAAATTTGGTACACATTATTTTTTCCCATCATCCAGACAGGAAGCAGTGATTTCCCCTCTACCCTCCAAACTAGAGGATGATTATGGAATCTGACTGGAGTCTCTTCAACTTAACTTTTCAAGGCCCTGATGTTAAGCAGGTGCTTAGTGTCTTCCTTCAATTTAGCCTGAGGAAAATATGTCCCAGTGGTACCACTGACTTGAATCACCCACCATCCCTGCTATTTCCATATACTATAGTTACTCAGAAACTGTATATTGAGAATGTGCATGAGAAAGGAGAAGAAAAAGAGGGAAAAAGAGAATAAGAATATTGAAAGAGTGGAGCTGGTGACTGGACATCTGAGTTCATGACATCTACTTACCTGGATTTCTGTCAAATAATTCTTGAAAGAGGTGACACCTTCATTTGAATGTAAGATGTACAAAAATACCAGTTCTTCAGCCATCTCTTCCCGCAGGAGACCGTGTATGTGTACACTGAAAGTCAGTTGACACAAGTAACCCCTCCTCGCCTTTGTGATTTCCAAAAGTGTTGAGGAATCTCCTAAGCCCAAGTGGCAAGTACACTCACCGCCTTGCTTCTCAGATTGATTTGTGATCACAGTTTTAAAACCTGTACCAGGCTTGGCCTTCAAGTGCTAGAACTAAACCTTAGCTTCTCCTGAATTAATCTTACACCAAGAGCAATCCCATGTTTATACTGAGACTACAGAGACTTATACAGTGATTGGTGTTGAGTATGTGCATTTGTTTCCATCTTCCTAAACCTCTCTTCTCAGCTCAGGACAATTTTCACAGATTTCATGATTCAATTTTTTTAGAAAGCATTTATAATAATTTTATTGAGGTGTAGCTCACATACCATAAAAATCATCCTTTAAAGTGTAAATTCAGTAGTTTATAGCATATTCACAGAGTTGTGCAATCATTGCCATTATCTAATTTTAGAACTTTTTATCACCTCCCCAAAAAACTTCATTCCTTTTAACCATTAACCCCATAACCATTAATGGTCTCTCCTCACTACCCCCTCCCCCCAGCTTCTGGCAATAGCAATGTACTTTTTGTCTCTGAGGGTATGCCTGTTCTGGGCATTTCATACAGATGGAATCATCCAGTATGTGACCTTTTGGGTCTGGCCACCTTCACGGGGTTTTCAGAGTTCATCCATGTTGTAACATGTATCTGTATTTTATTTATTTTTATTGTCGTATTCCATTGTGTGGATACGCCCCATTTTGTCAGTCGACAGACATTTGGATTGTTTCCACTTTTTGGCTATTAAGAATAATGCTGCTATGAACATTCAGGTACAAGTTTGGCGGGGACATGTTTTCAATTCTGTTGAGTACTTACCTAGTAGTGGAATGCTGAGTCATGATTCATTCTTTCATGAGTCACTCTATCCTGCTTTTGAATGTGCACATGCAGTGTCCCTTATTTTTCACTACATTCTTCGAAATTCTTCTCAACTTTCGTTTCCATCAAAATATATACCTCTTCTTACTGGTTTGAATTTATAGAAATAACAGAATAAATAATCTTAGTCAAATACTTTAAAACCCAGGGCAAACCAGCAGACACATAGTCAATTAACTATATGAATTTTGTTCAAAAGCAACAATTTTAGCTGCTTGTGGCCAGCAGAATGGACTGACTTTGCTCTTCTTTTTCATAATTATAAAATTCCATAATTCTGAATCCATAGGTAGAGATGTGTTCTTATTTCTAAATATGCCATTGCATGGCTTTCAGCAAATTTTCTCCCATGAACTATTGCTATATATCTAGTATTTATAAGATGTTTTGAGTTCTCCATGTTTGGAGAGGCTCCTAAAAGAGTCCTGGAATTTATGTCAGTAATGTTTGAAATTTTGTACTTAAATCGCAGGAGCTTGCCACTTCCTATTACCTATGGCACCCTCACTCCTGGCACATGCCTATATCTCTTTCTCCGTGTCTACATCAGGGTATAAAGGAAGGCTGTGAGTTATTTAAGCTGATTGTATTCTCCTGTAGTATGGCCAAACCAGGCTTGTCTTTGCTGTATGATTTGGTATGATTGGTATTCCTTTTTAGAATGTAAGGTCCTTAATGACAAAAACTGTGTTTTCTCCTTACTCTCACAGCTTTAAATATCTGATATAGGAACATGCCCAGATTAACTATTTGGTAAAAACATTTTAAATGAATATGGGTTAGCAGATTTAAAAAGAAATACGTTGATACATACCATGGCAAAAACCAGACTCATTTATGTGATAAAAACATAAAAATGCATTTTTTCAGAAAAGCTAAATTTGCATTATAATCCTTTCTATAATTTTACATTGCAAAATGAGTTTCTGTTGTTTTTAAGCTGGTTTTCCACCTTAAAAAAATACATAGATTTCTGATAAGGGTTATTCTTATACCATACCCAAATAACTAAGGGGAAAAGTCATCCATTTTGCTCTAAACATAATTGAAGTAAATTTTGTTTGACATGGGAAGAGGAGAAATCTGTAAAAGAATAATTAGTTTCAGCTTCTTTTCACTACTTTTTCTGAATCTATATAACCTGTGTTGTCACTATTGTGATTTGCTTAATTTTTATGTTTCGCATTGGAAAATAAAAGAACAGACCGTGGCTTCTGTTAGCTTATCCTCCCTCTGTGTGTCATGATATCACTTAATATACAACCTTTCAAGTTGTTCACAGTGGGTTGACATACTAGAAGTTGGTGTGTCCCAACTCTCAGGCAATCCTAATGCAGAAGGACTCATTTTTATTTTCCAGTGGAGGAATTATGAAGTTATCTTGACTCATTGAAATAATAAGTCTGTTATTTTTAAAATAGGAACAGTTATTTTTTATGCTCTTTTATTTAGAACATTCCAAAATAATAATATATAGAAGTTTGCATTTTTTATTTTTTATTTTTCTTTCCTGTAGTTCTTGTAATGTTTTGTATACACATGTAAGTTAATTAGGGAAGTCATAATTTGAATGCCTATTATAGTGTTTTTACTTTTTAAATGGAATCTATCCCAAACCTTTCCCAAATTCCTTTTATCTTCTTTGTTCTTCTGAAACATTTGCCTAAATTGTTTTTAATTCAAAATGGAAATATATTTTTTTCTGATTCATAAAGGTATATGTATTTATTGTAAGAAAATCTAAATGTGTAAAATAGAGTAAAACAATCTTCCACCACCTCACTTCACAGAGATGAGTTTCCTCAAGAAAGAGAAGCAGAGGGTGTGAGTATATTATGAGATGTCAGACAGAAGAGGATCAGGTGATGAGAGAGGCAAGAAGGGAACCTGGAGAGTGGTGCTATCAGAAGCACTGTCATAAAGATTTTTAAACAAGGAAAGTTGAATTGAATTGCACTAAGAGTAAATACAGATGAAAAATAAAGGGAATTAAACATATTTTCCATTAAGTTATCACTTTAAGATCTGTGAAGTGTTAAGTTCAAATTCTTAAATAAAGATCATTAGAGAGCATGGAAAATAAGTCATGTACGTAGTAGTCACTTAATAAGTGCTCATTCAACATGATGATAATTCTGTGAACGCAGTGCTTCTTGTAGTTGAAACCAAAATCTGTTTTATTATTACTATTACTATTATTATTTTTTTCAAGTGCCGTCCCTGGCTGGCAACCACTTAAGGCTTTGTTTGTTTCTACTTAGGCCTCTCATGTAAGGAGCTGAAGGGGAAATAAAATATACAGGATGAAAAGATGGCAATGTTGCCTCCCCCAGGACCTCAGAGCTTTGTCTACTTCACAAAACAGTCTCTTGCCCTCATTGAACAACGTATTGCTGAAGGAAAAACAAAGGAACCCAAAGAAGAAAAGAAAGACGATGACGAAGAAGGGCCAAAGCCAAGCAGTGACTTGGAAGCCGGCAAACAGCTGCCCTTCATCTATGGGGACATCCCTCAGGGCATGGTTTCGGAGCCCCTGGAGGACCTGGACCCTTACTATGCAGACAAAAAAGTGAGTTTATTGTGCCTGCAATGGTGTGGTCTCTGTTTACCTCTTTTGTACAGAAAAATATTTTAAATTGAGATTAAGTGGAATTTAGTGAAAAGCCACATCATGACAAAAATGTTTAGTTAAATACATATGTAGGCTCTTTCAGAATATGTACTTTTACTAATTTTTCATCAAAACTGGTTCTGTCACTGGCATACTATTTTGATTTTTTTTTAATTTAATAGCGTTTAGTATAATGTTCTGCCTTTTGGGACATAACATAAGTGCATCCTGGTAGGAACAAAATAATTGTCAGTTTGAGAAGTAAGACCTGGGGATATGTCCAGAATGCATTTGCACGGAGGTGACAGGTGAATCCATGGGAATATATAAAATCACTCAACTAATAATGGGATTTAGAGAGCCACTCATTTAGGGGGCTGGAGAGAAAGAGTCTGAGATGGTCAGAGAGGCAAGACATTATAAATCAGAAAGTTTTCCATTATTCAAAAAAAAAAAAAGGAAGAGAGTATCTCATAAAATTATTCAGAAAGTTGAGGCTGGAGAAAGGCTATTGGAATGAACAAGGAGGATGAGTTGGTAACTTTTTGGAAGCAGTTTGTGTTAGGTGATGGAAATAAAAGCAAGATAGCGGTGGATAGCAAGTAAAAAGAGGAAGTGGGTGGCAGTCGATGCATGCTGAAAAATTTGAGAAATTTCCACCAGAAAGATGGTCACTTGAGGCAATGAATAAATTGAAAACCTTTTCAATGTAGGGTATAAATAGCACGTTTGAAAGTGGAGAAAAATTATTCTCAGAGAAAAATACAGAGGGTCGAGTAAGTAGCTAGTTGCTGATGTTAACAGACAAGGGATAAACCACAGGTCAGCTTGTATTTGCATTAGAAAAATGGAGCGAAGCCTTACTGTGTGAGCCCTGAAGGGCAAATAGGAGGATGAATTTGAGTCCTGATATGTTGAAGTAAAGGTTGGCACATCTGAGGAAATGCATGTTAAATCATATCAATATTTTCCGTACTACAGGAGTGGAAATTGTCCTTTGAGAGTCAATCTTGAGAGCAGTAGATCTGAGAAGGTGTTGATTGCATTAAGGAAAGGGGAGAGTTTGAAACAACTGCTATAATGGTTATTCTACCAAGAAAATGAGAAGGGGATTATAGTCATTTCTGAGACAGTAGCAGATACAACCAGATTGAACTTGACAAAGAGGAGACAGTAAAGTATTAGATCAGCAGGTTCCATAACTTTCTCCAACAATGCTTTGCTGCATGGCAACTGCAGAGTTATCTTTAAGAGGTCAAGAAAGGCAGGATAAAGTCCATTAAAAAAAAACTATTTTGACTTAAGATGTAAATAAAAGAGATTATTTATTGATAACACATCTAGCAAATAAAATAAAGGGCACTGAAATGTCTTAAGAAGTAGAAAATGTGATGAAGTTAATTTTGATGGTAGAAACACATCTTCTTTGGGATAGTTGCTGTGAATAGCAATATGTAATATTTTGCTTCACGTTAAAGCCAGCATCTCAGCAAGCTGACAGCACAGAAGGAGAAAGCAGAATACCTGAGAAGCCTTTGAGATACTACCCAGCATTCCAATTAACCAATCAGTATTCTGACACAGGAAGGAAGAATGTTAACATGTATTCAGGATCTCTGCGTCAGGCACTAGACTTTTTATACAAATTAGCACACATATTTACTATAACTTGGTAAGACAGGAAGTAACAAAGGACCTGGGGAAAATAAGTAACTTACAAAATGCTACATGCTAGTAAGTTTTGTCACAAATTTTTTAGTTCAAGTTGATTTGACTCCCTACTGAAATATTCTGTTGTATAACATCTCTTAGTTTAATTTCTGTTGTATAGCAATCACCATGCTCACAGCTTTACAAAAATGAATGGAAGAATGAATGGGTAAATAATGAAACCGGCAATATAGAAAGTACTTTCTCATTTTAATTACTACTTCATCCTGAAAAATGCCTGGCTCTTCATGGATACCTCCTGCATGTCCCATTTCTCAAGGGGGCCTGAATATTACTTAACCAGGAACCCCTGAAGGAGGAAAGGAATCTTTCTGAAATAAATCCCAATTCAGAGATAAACTAATATTGGCTTAAAGTGACTTGAGAGGTAAGGAGAAAATGTTTGTATTTGGATGGAGGATTAACTAATGGAATCATTTTGGGTATGTGGTAGACAATTTTAATGGAGAATATTTAGGGGTGGGACTCCAATCCCTCACCTTGGCCCCAGCTCCTTTCAAATATGACGTCAACCACATTAAAAGCCTAACGCACATCTGCATCAGTATACTTGGGTAGAGCTAGGTCAAACGAAGTGATCTATTTTTCATGGTCCTCTATTAACAGATGAATAAATACCCACAGGGATTACCGAGTCTTTTTAATTTTTTGGTTTCGAGCTTTAAATGATCAGCTTTTTGTGCCATGTCCTAGCCCTTCAATCATTCTTGATTAAAGTAGTTTTGACTTCCACTTGCAACTTCAGGATTGGCTTCTGTGTGGATTGATTCCTTAATGTTTCGGGTTATTCACACTAGTTGACAAGAACTTTATTTCTGCTACATTATAATCACTGCTTGGACTAAAAATCTAAATGACTCCTGATTTGACCTGGGTTCAGATTTTATCTTATATTTGAGTGTAATTATCAATGCTTTGTTAAAAAAAGGACACTTAATAAACTAATGATAGAAGTTAGGGCTTCATTTTCATGTGTGATGAATATATTAAGCGCTTTTGAAGAGTTTTATGCAGTGCCTTTATTATAGATGAAAGTTTGTGTCTTGAAGAAAGAATAAATTACCAATCACCCTCTGCTGTGGGTATTAAGAGGACAGGTACAATGTCTTATTATCTTCATATCACTGGTGCCTTATATGTTGCCCAGAATATCAGCAGCTGTTCCTACCATTTACTAAGAATTTACAATACACCAGAACTTAAAAGCTTCACAGACATGAAGTGCTAGCTCTCAAGTTGTGAAATGGTAGATCAGGTATTTAGAATCCTATCTGTCCAACTCCAACGGTTATACTCTTTAAGTACCTTAACTCTCTAATTTTATGTTCAATAAATTATTAAATAAGTGAGCAATATTAAAAAAAATTTATTCAGACCTTGACATCTATGTGTTTCCTAGTAGGATTTTAGACTTTGCTAAAGAGACTCATTCTGCTACCCAAAATTTCATAGGCATATCTATTTTTCCCACCTGTAATTAACTCCTGGTTGTTTATAAACCTAGACAATCCTAAAGAAGTTTTTAATGAAAATGAAAATTGGGAATCTGAATTTAAAAATAGTAAACCAGTTCTTTTTTTTAAATTTCAAGGACAAGGTAACTTGATCTTGCCAAGTTGAGGCAGTAATATGATTTTCACATTAGCTCAGATGACCTCTGGTTCATGAAGTCCCCTGATTATTCTGACAGACATGTGACCACGCCCCCTCTTTACTCTCATGCTCTGCCATTTGTATTTCTCTGTATGCTACCTGTCACATCTTGCCTTGTATTAGAGTTATTGTGTTCTTATCACTTTTCTAGGAAGCTCCTTGAATGCAAAACTCGTGCCTCATTTATGTTCAAATTCCTTTCATTGCCTCTTATGCCATAGTTGCTCACTGCACAATTGTAGAATATAATGGCTGAACGAATTTTAAAAAGCACAGTGTATTGAGATTTAAGAAAACAATAGTTGTACTCAAAGGTGAGATACTAATTTTAAAACTAATTTTCAATGTAAAAGTGAACTTTATGTTAAATTATGTTTAATTTACTATACATAACTGGTATAGTAAAAGAGACCAGGAATATAAAAGGGCTTCTGAAAATAATAGATTCTGTTTGTTTTCTTGGGGGCTCTGCCACATACAAGAGCAAGATTACCCAAAGTTACATCTCCAGTTTGGTGAAAAATATTTATTACCAGAAGCTCCCTTATAAACTTATATAAAATTCAGAATGAACAACAAAAAGACCAAATTAGTGTCTTCTAGATAACACAAGGAATTTGTTTGCTAACCACAGAAAAATAAGACAAGGATTTGAACTTGGTCTTTCTGATTTCCAAGCCAACTCCTTCGGTTGTTTTAATGTTTTGTTATTGCTGTTTGTTTGTTTGGGTTTCAAATTTTTCAACTAAATACCAAAGACATGGAAAATGTCACTCATTATGCAATGGTTGCATAACATATTTCTTAAATGTTTGGTTCTATTCGTATTATTTCAAAAAATTGCCATGGATAGTAGCAAGCAAGTCCTTTAATTTATGTTCTTTTATTTTAGCTGCTATTGGTATTAACATCTAAAATAGGAAAATCATACTGAGTAGTAGGATTCTTTCAACTCTAATATTCCTTAAATTTATGAAAATATTTTTGAAAACTCATATTTTGGTACATTTGCTACTAAACCTGACAATAGCCAAGAAGTATTAAAATTCTCTCAGTGATATGATAAAAATCAAGGATAGCTAGTATCTATTTGGTTTGCATAAAATGCAATGTAATGAAAGAACTAAGCTGTATTTTAAAATACTTACAGTGGCCACAAGTTATTGTTACTGATTTGGATGTTGAAGGGATATGAAAAAGTGAAAACTGTATTTTGAAAGCTCTAAATAATACATGCTCATAAATGGCTCACTTCTTACTTTACTGATGAAATGGACAATGGACTTGGAGTTCATTGGCCAACATGACGTGAAGAGCTGCATCAATGGTATTGGAACCACATTGCTTGAGTCTGATGGCAGTGTTTCTTTAATATGACCCTACCACATGGAGAGGTAAATTGCAGATATTAACCTACTACATTGAAATTTTGGAGTCTCAATTCATACTGTTTTCTTTTTACTCCTGCAGACTTTCATAGTTTTGAACAAAGGGAAAGCAATCTTCCGTTTCAATGCCACACCTGCTTTGTACATCCTCTCTCCTTTCAGTCCTCTCAGAAGAATATCTATTAAGATTTTAGTACACTCATATCCTTTTTAAAATGCTTACTTACAATGGTTCTTTAAAATGCAGTTTTAAAAAATTTTTTTTTAAATATAGATTTTAGTCCTTTTGTACCTGAAAAGACTCTGGTTTACCAATCTCAATATAATTTGGTGTAGATCTGTAAGTAGATTGGGAGAATGGCAATTTTAGTATTTTAGGAAAAATTGCTTTTGTCTGTTACTCCCTTGTTCAAAGAGATTTTTTTTTAAGTCTATAGACGTGCTTAGAATTTTTTTCTAAGGAAAAATTGTTAGCATTTCGACAAATGTCTTTATCAGATATTCAAAGTTTCTACCGTGGTCTTTTATCATATTCCTTGATTCTAAGCTACCGCATTCAGCATGCTTATCATGTGCACTATTCTGACGAATTGCATATTTATGACCATGAGTAACCCTCCAGATTGGACCAAGAATGTAGAGTAAGTGGGTTTAAGTACATTTTAATATAGTCTTAGTATGGTCATTTTTATCCTTTCCTTTTTATACCAGGAAGTTATTGCATCTATAAATATTGTGGTGTTTATCTTCCCATGTTACATAGTTGCTTTTCTTTCAATTATTTTTCTCTCCCCTACAATATTAACCTGCAAATATTACAATAGAATAATACGTGCTACAGTCTTTTCTAGAAAAAAGACCTTATCAGATGCCCTGCTTTGTTCTTAGACATGCCACATATCTCTTGTCCTTGGGTATATTTCTGATAGGAACAATGCAGGAATTTTCTAAGCAGACCTAATACCTGTGTTCTTACTAATTTTTAAATACCTCTACTTTCTGAGAGTGTTTCTGATATGTACATTTTAAGATTTTCTGGAAGGACCTTTACTATAGTTTATTCTAATAGTTAGAATGGGTCCATAAACCAACAGCCATACTCCAATAGATGCCGTCCTTTGGTTGATCAGAAAAAATTAATTATAAAGATTCACATGGTATTGTATTCTTTTCACACTTAATATCCCAATGGATTCTTGTGCCTAGGTACACTTTTACTGGAATATATACTTTTGAATCGCTTGTAAAAATCCTTGCAAGAGGCTTCTGTGTAGGAGAATTCACTTTCCTTCGTGACCCTTGGAACTGGCTTGATTTTATTGTCATTGTTTTTGCGTAAGTACTTTCAGTTTTTTGAAATGCCAAACTCATGAAAGTCTCAGACAGCACAGTATTCCAGTAAGAACAGACTTTTGGGGTTTGACTTTTCCTGCATATAATGGTTGCATTTAAAGGATACTGTATGAAAGTTAGTCATCAAAAAAATATTAATATTTTTTCAGATAGAGCGTTTTCTACTCAAAAGTGTGTGACATCATTAAGATAGATGGTCTTCCTCCATGCTCAGTACTTGGATAGATAATATATGTGGTGCCAGTTAGGGTCACACTTTTTCCAAGTTCTTATTTAAAATCTGGTAAAACCTATAAGAAAAAACTCAGGCATTTATTATAAGTACGGTGCTCTTTTTTTAAATTAACCTATATTATTCAAAAGCTAATAAGTATATTAAAATATAGAAATAAATCTTTTTATAAGGGCTGTCACTGCATACTAAACCTAACATTAATGCATTGTGTATGCATTACATAGGCATCCACAGTTTATTTTCAAGGGAAAAGTATCACATTAAGATATAATTTTAATTTATTCATATTGCTGCTCTTTTCCTAAATATATTTGTCAGAAACATTTCTTTATTTTTTAAATCTCAAACCTATATACAGTATTTTCCCTCTGTCATTTTGAATTGTAAAAGTAATACATGTTCATTGGAGGGATTTAGACAGTACAGAAGGGTCTTGAGATTTCTAGTCTCCAATTCCCGCACACCTGCCCCACCTCTTTGTCCTTCAGGCTGGCTCTTTTTGTGGTCATATAAGACTGCTGTAGTGCCACCCACCACCTGCTAAGACAACACTGTGTCAAAGAAGGCTGCATCTTCTCAGGGGTCTCCTGTTTTAAATTTATGTGCCATAAACTTTACCATTTTTAAAGTACAAAATTCAGTGTTTTGTAGTATGTTCACAAAGTTGTGCAACAATCATCACTTTCTAATTCCAGAATATTTTCGTCACCCCAGAGAGCAGTCACTTCCATTCCCTTCTCCCCCCGCCCCAGTCCCTGGAAACCACTCAACTGTGTTCTGTCTCTGTGGATTTGCCTATTCTAGACATTTCACGTGAATGGAATCATACAATATATGACCTTTTTGTGTCTGGCTTCTTTGAATTAGCATACAGTTGTCTAGGTTTGCTGCTGGTATTTTATAGAATATTAAATATCTATATTACCATAATATTGAAGTTTAGTAATTGAAGCATTTAATTGTTTAGTTAGGCATTTATGTGTATGAAACCATTTTAATAATACGTTTGTATTTTGCTCACATCAAATGACTCAAATCAAATCAAATTAAATTAGTAATGATAGAAGCAAAAGACTTGCAGAACTGTAAATTTAAATAAGAAGTTCCAAGCGTAGGAAACACCTTGACTAAAGGCACAGGTAAGTATCATAGACTCTATCTAAATTCTGAATAACTCTGATTTAATTCTACAGGTATTTAACAGAATTTGTAAATCTAGGCAATGTTTCAGCTCTTCGAACTTTCAGAGTGTTGAGAGCTTTGAAAACTATTTCTGTAATCCCAGGTAAGAAGTAATTGGTGTGAAGCATTAGGCCACTCATAACTCCAACTATTTTGGGAGTTGTTCTTTGTTTGTGTGTGTGTGTTGTTACCGTGTTTGTGTATAAACTCCCCTATTACAGATATGTGACAGAGTTTGTGGACCTGGGCAATGTCTCAGCGTTGAGAACATTCAGAGTTCTCCGAGCTTTGAAAACAATTTCAGTCATTCCAGGTGAGAGTGGGGTTAAACACCGGGGCTGACTTTGATCTTTTGAAGGAAAAACAAGAAAAACTTTCTCTTACGCAATTTTAATTAAATTTGATCTCTTACGTTTTTCACAATCGTTATTAAAAGTCAGCCTTTGAGTTTAATCAGTTGCATGAGTCTTAGGCGATGAAGATGGCCGTTTGGTTCACATCTCAACTTGAAATTTTCCCTCCTGTCTAACAGTTCATTTTCCATTTTGCTTATCCAGGAATGAAAATTTCAATTTGTTTTATTGCTTTTCATATGGTTAAGAAAAGAGATACAGAATATCAGCATGGGGAGGATTGCATGACATAATGTTTTTTTCTTTCCTCAACAAACCATTTCTTAACTGAAAATTAGTAAGTTGTCACTGTGTGCTGCAATTCAGCCTCTTTTCTGTTTTGGTGTCGTTTGAGATGTTTTGTCTGACGAACATTCACTGAATTGACACTTTTTAAAAATTATTTTTTCAAGTGAGTGTGGATATGGTTTGAGCAACCAAATTATTCATTTTGACAGTTTGGTTATTCTCTGGAAATATTTAAAGTTTTTAATCACTTGCTGTAATATACAGAAACAAAATATATAAAACAGCAAGTCCACCCTTTTGAGCTGGTAGACTTTTTTCCATCTAGGTTATTTAAGATCATTGGTTTGATAAAATGCATGCATTTCTAGGAAAGCTTGTGTTTTATTTTCGTTTCTCATTCAGAGGCTTTATTTCATTTTGAACACCTATTTCTCCTCGTATTCAGGCCTAAAGACCATCGTAGGGGCCCTGATCCAGTCTGTGAAGAAGCTTTCTGATGTCATGATCCTGACTGTGTTCTGTCTGAGCGTGTTTGCACTGATTGGACTGCAGCTCTTTATGGGCAACCTGAAGCAAAAATGTGTGCGGACTCTGCTTGAAAATAATGAAACAATAGAAAGCATATTGAATACTCTCGATGAAGAAGACTATGGAAGTAAGAATGCCCTTGTAGTTATTAATAGGTTGAAATAGGGCTAAGAGCATTGTTCTCTTCTGGCAATGAAATGTTGCTTTCATTTTAATTATTTCAAAATCACTCAAATATAGAGAAAGCTGCTGCAATGTGAATTTGGATCATGTTATATTTTCATAAATTTCCCTGGATCTAAGCTTTCTAGTGGTTCTGGTATTAAGAACATGGGATAGTTCCATAATTCTCAATTTCTGTAAGATAAAAAAGAATAAGTTTGCTCTAGAAAAATAAATTTAGCTATGAATTAATGATATTGACCATTAAATTTCATAAGTTATATATTTATATACTGTAGTTTTATTGAGTAATTTATACTTACGTTTATTTTATAGTATAATTTATTATATAGTAATATAATTATATTTTTACCCTTGTATTTTTCTTATAACTATAACATTGTACAGTCATGTTAATCATGTTATAATGATATTATCACATATTAAAATGTTTGTCTCAATAGTATTTCTAAAGATTTGTATAAGCAGAACAGTTTATTCAGCTTTATCAGCACTATCCTCATACTATAACCAATGATGAGTTTTACAGCTCTTTCTAATGGCTTCCCTCAATCTAGCTAATGACCATCATAGTTTAATTCATCAGAACTAGTTCTGTAGATACCATTTACGATGATCTGTATGCACAGTCTCAGAAGTCTACTTAATTCACAAGTGTATTTTAGAGTATCTTACAGAAAGCATAAACGGCATGTTTTCTAAATACTTATCCCCTAACACAGTTTCTCTCACCAGAGCTGATGAGTTTGGGTGAGAATGAAATCTAGCAAGATTGTAATTTCTGTCTAACACCTGCAGTGTGTCTGTAAGATGTTGCCCACGTGAACCCATAAACCTTAATAATTAGATCCAGAGGTAAGGTGGACATGCAAGTGCCTTTGATAGAAGGAGATCAGGGAGTAAAGTTCAGGTGTTAATTCTCCTTAAATAATAAAGAGTCGTATACATCATTTTTTTTTTTTTACTTTACTCAATGTGTTTTTTCCTACTCACTGAGTAATATAAAGGCAAATAAAACCTAGCTAATATAGTAAAAGACTGTAAATAAAGAAAACTGAAAAAAAGGAAGCCTAAAACAAGAAAACTGAAGGGTTTCAAAGTAAAATTTTTAATGTATATATTTTTTACTACCAGCATTTGATGAGGAATGTAGCATATTTTCCTTTGCTTTTCTTTATTTTTTCAGCTTCTGATTTTTATTAATATGATCTTAAATTTCATTTCTAGTTTCCAAAGGATTTTATTTCTTAATTTATATACCATGCAAGTTATAGAGCTTACAGGTAATTGCTGACATTTGTACTCTGTTTTATGAATCAGTTTACAGCACTTACTTAAACTTGACTTTTTTTTAACTAGGATCATTACCAGTCCTTTTATTCTGAATCTTGGTCTCATTCCTGAGTTCATACTTTGAGTGATTTTTTTTTTTTTTTTAACTTTCTGGAATTGCTTCAAGCAATTTTTTTCAAAAGGAGTAGAAAAAGCTCTTGGATTTTGCAGTGTATCTTCATATTGGGTTCACACATGAGTGAATGACAGCTTAGCTAACAATGAAATTTTATACCACAATCTTCTCCCTCAACTCTATATATTATTCTTGATTTTCTTCTGAAATATAGTTTCACAGCAGAGATGATTGTGTTCAGTCCGAGTTTGGTTTCCTACCTGTTTTCTGTGTCATAGAAGCCCAATCTCACTGCAATATTTATTCAAGTATTCATCACATGGGTTTATTGAGTGCTTCCCTGAGCTAAGCATTGTACAAGTTTCTGGACCTGTAGCAGTGAGTATGATAACCTCAGCCTCTGCATCCACAGAGCTTATCTTCTAGGGAGAATGAAAGAGTAAAAGGAGGAGAACAGACAAATAAAAAATATTGCAAGTTATAACAAATGCTATGTGAAGAAAATAAATCTCATGGGCTGAGATACCAACTAAATGAGAAGCCCTCTCTGAGGAGGTGGCATTTAAGCAGAGATCTCAAGGATAATAAGAAGCCATAAAATAGTGTAAGTGTAAATGGGAGCTGTTCCTTGAATTAGAAGGAAGAGCTTGTGGAAAAGCCCTGAGACAAGAAAGAGTATCATGTGTTTAAGGAATGGGAAAATAGCAGTGTGGTTAGACTTTAGCAAAGGAGAGGCAGAATGGCAACAGAGAAGGTTAGAGAAAAAGGCAGGGGTCATATCATGAAGAATGTCTTAGCCCATGGAAAGGAATTTGGATTTTATTTTAAATGCAGTGGTTTTAATCACTTTACCATATGGGGAGCTGATTGGGTAAGAGTAGATGGTAGATTAGAATAAGGAAGACCAGTTAGGATGATGTTTCTATCATTCCAAACAAGACAAGGTTGTGGTTTCATCTAGAGTGGCGGCAGAAAGTGAAAAATGTGAGTTCAAAATGACACCTATAGAACCCACTGATGAATTAGAGAGGAGAGAAGGGCTTGGGGAATCTCATCTACGTTTCTGGCACAGTAACTGGATAGGTGGCAATGGGAAGTGAGGGAAGAGCGGGCAGGTTTGTAGGAGAAAGTCACTATTAACCAGTTAAAATTGAGATGTCATTGGGATATCCAAGTGGAGATAGGAAGTAGACAATTGGAGATTTAAGCATAGAGATCAGAGGAAATGCCTAGTTTGGAGATATACACTTCGAAGTAATCAGCAAAGGGAAAAGATATGTACACACATATACATCCTTCTGAAAATCCTCATGTTTATAAGTAGGTAGACAATGGGAAACCTGGTGTTTAAAGCAAATTTGGTGTTTAGAAGATGCTCATCTCCACAACCCTAATGTCTAGAAGGCAGGTAGAGAGGAGGACCCCAAAAAATATGCAGAGAAAGAGTGGCCAGTAAAGCAAGAAGCAAAGATATAAGTAGGAAAATCAAGAGAAAAAAGTATGTTGAGAAAAGGGAGTGCTTGTGTTGAATGACGCTGCAAGATCAAGGATTAAGATCAAGATCAAGGATGATGAGGATAGAGAAATGTATATTAGCTTAAACAACATGGAAGTCATTAGAGAATTTCATGAGCAAATTTTACTAGAGTGGTAGGACACAAGGTTGGATGAAGGTGGTGACGGGTGAATAAGATGTCAGAAGGAAGAGAAGACAGTATGTGTAGACAATTCTTCCAAGAAATTTGGCTGTAAGGGAATCAGAATAACAGGGGCAATGGCCGGCATTTTTTTAAAAGATGGATTTTGATAGGGATATTTTTCTAGTGCTAGAAATGAATGAGTAGTAAAATATGGATTAATAATTCAGGAGAGTGGGGGAGAGCAAGTCCTTGAGAAAGTGGGAGAGCGAAGGGGAGAGACATCTCCACCATAGAAGCAGGAGGAAAGATGGAAGAGCAGGCTCCAGCGTAATCAGAGGAGGATTAAGTCAAGCCCAGTGGCTTTTATTTCCACAGAAAAATGTGAGATGGGATCATTGGCTGGGAGTGCAAAAGAGGAATTCTTCTCTTGGTATTACATTTTCCCTTTACATGTTAACCTTAAATTCTCTTGAGGCTAATTATCCTAATAATTTACTGTTTATTTGTTTGGGAATTATTTTCAAGTGTTCTACAAGACCAGAGTGAGCTACTCCCATTGCTTCACCTTTCACCATTCGTGTATTGAATTGACTATGTTAGCCCTGCAACATGCCCGTACAGGCAGCTTTAGAGCCTACTTTTATAAAGCAGCTCCTCAGTGATTGGTAAATGTGAACTGGTATTTCTTTAAAGGATAACTCTAAAGTAATCCTTCCATAATAAAAATATCTCAGAGGTTTATGTATAAAACGTTGCATGATCACCTCCTCCATCCTCATTTTGCCATGCCTACCCTCCCCAAGGCACAGGATTTTCTGCAAAAATGAACACTGAGAGTTTTCACCCCAAACTAAGAGGCCTTATTGGTTTATTTGTGTCTTCTAATATTTGTATCTTCTACATAAGACCTAACGATGGCATATAAGTCAGTTAGTCTTATCTGAAGTTGTTTAATAAGAGCTGCTGCTCTTTTAGCATTGATGTAGAAAGTGTGGGTCACTGTGTTAACTGTTTTACATGCCATAGCCTATTAGTACTAATTCAACAGCTCTACAAAGTAGGTGTTCTTATCCACATTTTACAGATGCAGAAGCTAAATCTTAAAGTGATAAAGTAATTCACCTACATAGGAAGGGGTAGAAACAATATTCAAATCCAAGTACATCTGACTTCAAAGTCTTCGTTCTGCTGTTACTCCAGAGCCTCCTAGAAATTACATCTTTATTTATTTTGACTTGAGCCAGATAGGAAGTTGGGCTCTTATTAAAAAAATTCTTTTTGTCCTTTATACCTTTACTGTATAGGTTTGGATCAGCCCCCTGTATTAAGAATAAGTCATTATAGTAAATAAAGGAAGAGTTATGAGTTCCTTTACACCTGAAAATGGGCACAGAGGGTACCATGAAAGGGGAAAATGTACATTTATTTCAGTTCTGTATCCTCAACATCCAGAACTTAGTAAGTCCTAAATAGATGTTGATTGGTGAGTAAACAATGAGAGAATTTCAGAAAATAAATTTCCTTCACTTACAGTGTTGCCTTGCCAACTGTACCCCTTCTGGAATACTTGGGGCTGAGCTGGGGGCTCTTTTCCTTCTCTTTCCCTCCCCTTCCCCAGCTCCACTTTCTCTCTGGGTTAACTCATCAGGTCCCATGGCCTGACGATGACGCCCATCTTTGTATCTCCATAGTTGATACCTTCACTGACCTCAGACTCATATCAATCCAGTCACTTACTTGACAAATATAATTTAATACCTAATAATCATCTCACGTGGAGCACAGCTAAAACGGAGCTCCTGGTTGTCCTTCAGGCCATTCTGTGCCCCACTCTTCCTTATCCCAGTAACTGGTACCACTCTTGACCAGCTGATACATCCTTGTGTCTCCTCTCTTCCACATACCCCACATGCACTCCGTCAACACATCCCGTCCGCTTGATTCTATCCCCTTCTCTCCGTATCCATGGCTACTCTGAATCGTAGCCATGTCACCTGTCACTGTAGTCACTTAGCTTGTATCCCTGCTTCCACACTTGCCCTCCTATAGTCCATAGTCCACAAAGCAGCCACAGCAACATTCAGAAATGTTAATTATTGTCTCACATCTCTACTTCCTACTTCTGTTACTTCCTATCACACTTACAATCCAAACTCCTTTCCATGGCATGCAAAGCCTTGCTACGTGGCCCCGGCCTACCTCTGACACCACAATCCTCCCCATTCACTGCACTATAACTGGGCTGGCCATTTTGCTTTTTTGTTTCCATATACCAACTTCATTTCTACCTTGGGGTTTTGCTCTTTGCTCTTCACGCTGTCAGGATGTCTCACAAGGGTCCTCGAATGGCTGGCTTCTCTGTAGCATTTAGGTTCCAGCTCGAATGTCATCTCTTTAGAAAAGACTTCCCTGACCACATTTTGTCACATTATCTTAATTTATTTTCTTTAGGGCATTTATCCCTATGTGAAAATACCTTGTATATTTACTTATTTACTTGTTAAGTGTCTTTCTCCATTCCCAACCTCCACCCTTACCTAAACATAAAGAAAGCTTCATAAAATTGATGATCTTATTTATCATGTTTGTCATCATATTCACTGCCTGGCCCATAAGAGGTTATCGACAAATATTTGAAGGAAAATATATAAGAATACAATAAATAAATGAATGCCTATTGCCTGGCACTGGGCCTGAATATGTTTGTAAATATACCTATATTAATTAACTGACCTGCTGTGTCACTCTTAAAGCTTACACTCCATAATGTTATATTGTTCAATTTCTTCCTGAACAGAATATTTTTATTACTTGGAGGGATCCAAAGATGCTCTCCTTTGTGGTTTCAGCACCGATTCAGGGTACGTAATATTTGTTTTCAGTTTAGTCCAAAGGCTGGGGGAAAAAAGAAAAATCAAACTCAATTAGTTTGCTAATAAGAACCTTTGATTCTATATTATTTTCATATATTTCATGGCATTTTTTGACTCATTCTGTCCCACAGTGAGTCCAGAGTTTAAAACTTTCATGGTTAATGCATACCGTACATTTGAAAGCAATACTTTGAGGTAGTGCTTGAATTAAAACAAGATACAAATCATATACATCCTAAGAAAGTAGAAAAAAATTACTTCCAAAAAACCCCACCAAAAGTTGGATGGATAGTTTCCAGCATTTCTTCTTTCTGGGAAGAAGAGTGACAAAATCAACTTTTCTTTCCATCCCCAAATTATACTCATTCTCCCATCAAGTATGGTTCATAGGTGACAGAATGCAGTGACAGTTTGGCCACTCTAAACAAAAGGATCCCATGGACTGGGGTAAAGATATTTTAAGAATGTCGTATTTATGTAAGTACCCATTTTGTTCTTTCTCCCACACACCGACTTTATTTCTGCTGCAGGGCCTTTGTTCTTGCACTGCCCCCTGCCCAGGAGGAGGCTCTGGGTACAATGGGAACATAAAAACAAACAAGATAAGGTTGCTGCTCCTAAAGACACCTCAGAACACTGTGTTTATTTGACATCATGGATACCAATCCACTAACTTTAAAGAGAAAAAAAGTCTTAAACTAGAAATCTCTATGTACTTACACAATTGTTATCTATTGACTGTTCTTGATTCTAATTCACCTCAAGAATAATTTGGGGAGACAATTTTATTCGAGGCCTATATGTCAATCTTTATGGGTACAAGAACTACTATATGACATCTGGTGAAAGTTTCCAAGTCTTAATGATTGATGTTGATACTAATAGCAGCTACCATTTATTAAATGCTTTCTATGTGCAGGAACTAGGCTAGGTAATTTGCATACATTATCTTCTTTAAACTTAATAACAGTCCTAACCTTTGGAGGTTGAAGGAAAATATATAAGAATTGGAGGTTGAAGGAAAATATATAAGAATATATATATATATTTATATATATAAGAATATATATATATAAAATATATTATTTATATATAATATATATTGTGATATATATTTATATATAAATAATATATAATATATTTATATATAAATATATATATATATATTTCCTTCAACTCTTAACCTTTGGAGGTAGGTATTATTATCTTGTCTCACAGAAAGAAGGAACCCGGCCTTGGGGAATTTAAGTAATTTGACAAAGTCAACAACTAGTAAAAAGTAAGGATGGGATTCAAACCCAGTTCTTGCTGACTCCAAATAATGTGTTCTTAATCATTATTCAATATTGTCCCCCTGGAAAGGAAACCTTGAGTTTCCGACTTCTCTGTAGTACCCTTTAGCTTGCATCCTGAAGGTACTCTGACTTGTGATATCCTTTTTCACATGTAGTCAGTGTCCAGAAGGGTACACCTGTGTGAAGGTTGGCAAGAACCCTGATTATGGCTACACGAGCTTCGATACTTTCAGTTGGGCCTTCTTAGCCTTGTTTCGGCTAATGACCCAGGATTACTGGGAAAACCTTTACCAACAGGTGAGTGCCAAGAGAAACATTCATTGCATTCATTGCACAAAAATCTGATGTATGTTCCCTACCAGCCTTATATATGAGATGTTTTATTCAATTTAGAATGGAGAAAACTCTATTGTCTTAGTACTAAAATAGACATGTTCTATTTCCAGCACTATTAGAATGGATAGTTCTTAAATCATAAATTATTTTCTTACTCTTCTGGGCTTTTTGATCTCTAGATCTCTTTCCCCCTTTCTGAATATAGCATCCCACGGGGTCCTAGGTAAATAGCAAGAAATATACTGTAATGTTCTCTCACAGCACTCCTACACACGCTATGCTTTCCACACTTGCCTCCCTGCCTGCAGTGCCCTAAACACCAGGCTCTCCTGTGCTCACTGTTCTTTATTTTGTGCACTCCCATGTACAGTTGTTCTGGACTGAATAGTATCTCCCCCATATTCATATGTTGAAGTCCTAACTCCCGGTACCTTAGAATGACTATATTTAGAGTTAGGGCCTTTAAAGCGGTAACTAAAATGAGGCTATTAGGGTGGGTCCTAAACCTATCTGATGTCCTTATAAGAAGGAAACATTAGGACATGAGTAGAGATACACAGACACACAGAGAAAATACCTTGTGAGGACTCAGTGAGAAGGTAGCCATCCACAAGCCAAGGGGAGAGACCACAGGAGAAACCAAACCTGCCAATACTTTAATCTTGGATTTCAATCCCCTAGGACTGAGAAAATAAATTTCTGTTGTTTAAGTTACCCAATTTATAGCATTTTGTTATGGCAGCCTGAGCAAACTAATATGAGAATGGAAGACTCAATTCATGTCTCTGAGTTTTTCTCTCTCAACTCACTTGTTCCTTCTTCTACACTTCCATGCCCTTTGTTCTTCAGTTTATAGCATCCATCTCTTGTACTGGAATTCTTCATTCATGTGAACATCTCCTCTCTAACTTACATGTGATCCTCTTGGGATTGTGGCTCTATCTTTTCACCTATATGTTATCAGTACCCAACCCCAAGAGGAAGGAGATCAAAAATGATTATTCTATATTATAAAAAATAATGAATCACTTCTCAAATTGCTACAGATTCTTCTTTTGGCCTGTTTTATGTCTGTTTAATTTCTGAGAATATTATAAATGAATGTAGAAATTATATAAAAATCTTACTTCACAGGAAAAAAAAGAAATACAAGTGACTTTTTAAGTATGCAAAAAGATACTCACCTTTACTGCAAATTAAAACTGGAGTGACATATAACTTTTCACCTGTCGGAATGACCAAAATCAAAAAGTTGATCAAAGGAGAGATACTGTCTGACTAGATGTGGGGAGGTAGACTTTCTCACACATTTCTGGGAACCACTGGAGAAGATATCATGGCAATTTCTATGAAAATTAAAATGAATATACCTGTTGACCTAAGAATTCCACTGCAAAGAATTTATCCAAAAGAAGAAATCAGTAACAACAGTAACTGATAGAAAAGGCAATTGAGTTACCATGCATCAGCGATAGAATAAAGAGACTTATTTTTCATTTAATATCTGTTTGTACCATTTGAATTTTTTACCATGTATTACATTTAAAAATTTTTAATAAATGTTGATTTAAAATACATAAAAGATGAATGCATAAATTCATATAATAAGGCTATCTACCTTGTGTTAACATAATCATTAATACTTCTTAAAGATATAATTTTATCAGTAAATGATACTATGGAAATTGTCTAGTCCTATAATTTGAAAATGAGTAAAGCAGCTAGTTTTTGAGTAATTTTCAGATTCAGGGAGAAAAAATCCAGGGTTATTATTATGCTTACTAATAGTCAAGAATCAAACTTAATTTCAGTACAAGCTTAATTAATTGCTATATCTTTTGTACTGAAAAAGTGTGTATTTTAATACTGATTGTTTTCGATGAAGATACAATTTTATTCCTTTATATTTTTGATAACATGAGAGTATACAGAGCTGTACGATTTACATACCTAATATGCCATTCAAGTTGAAATGATTTACCAAAAAAACCCTTTGTATTATTAAAATAATAATTACCATTTTTCCCTAGACACTGCGTGCTGCTGGGAAAACCTACATGATCTTCTTTGTTGTGGTGATTTTCCTGGGATCCTTTTATCTAATAAACTTGATCCTGGCAGTGGTTGCCATGGCCTATGAAGAACAGAACCAGGCAAACATCGAAGAAGCTAGGCAGAAAGAGTTAGAATTTCAACAGATGTTAGATCGACTTAAAAAAGAGCAAGAGGAAGCTGAGGTATTGTTATTTGATTTAAAATTCTTCCTAGAAGTAGAAAAGCAGCGGAAACAGCAGAAGCCCTGTGGCCTATGCTCAGCCTTCCCCGGGGAGATTTTCCTTCCTGGTTTCCTTTCATTTATATAAATGAAAACTGAATTTTCATTCTGGTGTGGTCAAAGGAAGCAATTCTGGATTGAGTTAGAACTGACATCTGCCCCATTCCACCTTCCCACATAATCAGCTCACTCCAGCAAGGAGAATGTTCTAAACTCTTCCTCCTAAACCTGTTACTCACAATTCCTCTGTGTGCATGGCATTATACAAAGTCCCAGAACGTATATGATGTACTTCCCCAGAGTAACAATTGTACACAAATGTTTAGGGAAAATTATTTGATGTTAAAGTTAGATACTCTGTGGGGTAGAAAGCAAAATGTTCATCCGTTTTGGTTAATGTTGCAAGGATTTTAAGATAACGTGTGAGATGTTAAGAAAATCATACTTACGATTGTGGCCACAAATTCTTGAGGATTTCTCCTTACTCCTCCCTCCAAAGGGGTATTTCAGTGGAAGTTTGAGGAGGCTTGTACTAAGAGAACCAAAATTTCAAATATTCCACACGTGTTTGATGATTTGACCTAGCAAATCTCTTCAAGCAATCTAACCTATTTGGGGGAGGGTAGTAATCTGTGATGCGGAGAAACTTTGAAGCAGAAAGATGTTCAGGACAGTATTTTAATAATATTAAAAATCAGAAAGCATTTAAATTTCCAAAAATTAGAAAATGGTTAAGAGGACTATGATATGTTTGTGTCGTGGAGTATTATTTGGCCATAAAATGATGTGTTTTAAGAATATTATGACAGGAAAAGGTATTAATATAACAATATATTAAGTTGTAGAATACAAAATAGAATATAGGATACAAACAATTTAAAAATTATATATATAAAGAGTGGAAGAAATGTTAACACCAATTATTGCTAGGATGTAGGTTTCTGACTGATTTTTGTTTTTTATTCACAATATCTTTATTTTCCAAATTTTTACAAGGATTATTTTATTTTAATAATAAAAATTTAATTTTTATAAAAGGGGTAGCACTAGGCTATCCCAGGAATTTCCTAGAGAACCCCTAAAAGGCTCTTGCATTTTCTTGAGATATTATTCTGTAATAATTCATTTTATTTGCAAACAATTCATTCTTCATTAAAGTATAGCTGTACCTGAATTTATTGATAATATTGAGTTAATTACCCGAACAAGATATACAAATGAATTATCACATGGTTTATGTGTTTTATGACCCAGAATTACCTAAAATTAAAACTTTTACATGGTTTATGTGTTTTATGACCCAGAATTACCTAAAATTAAAACTTTTACGTATGCAATTTAAAATTCCACATATACTACTTAAATTGCTTTACTATATAGTAATAGTATGTAATAGTTTAATTCCAAGGCACAGTATGGCTTTATTACAATGCAGGAGAAGCAATAAGCATATATTTTGTAAGCTCTCTATTCAGAGTGCAAAGAAAACGACATTGCTTCCCTTACAAGGGACGTGATTACATGAACAGTGTAACTGAATTTGTAGTAAACAGGTGCCCCATAATAGGGTTTCCCAGACTTTGGAAATGACTCACTGTGTGTGTAACCTCTTGGTGCAACAGGCAATAGCAATGGCAGCAGCTGAATATACAAGCATTGAGAGAAGCCGGATAATGGGCCTCTCCGAGAGTTCTTCCGAAACATCCAAAATGAGCTCTAAAAGTGCTAAAGAAAGAAGAAACAGAAGAAAGAAAAATAATCAAAAGAAACTCTCCATTGGGGAAGAAAAGGGAGATGATGAGAAATTGTCCAAATCGGAATCCGAGGAGAGCATCAGGAGAAAAAGTTTCCACCTTGGTGTTGAAGGTCATAGGCGAGCACGTGAAAAGAGATTTTCTACCCCTAACCAGGTACCACTGACACCGTCACATGCATATCACCAGAGGTGGCATCATAGAGCAAAGTGTTCTGAGGGAAGGGACCTCAGGAGAGGAGTGAATTGTTGTAGCCACTGACTACAGAACAAGACCCACATCTTGTCAATGCCATGGACTGGCTTCACCTCAGTCCTACCTTTCTCAACCTTCATGTACCCTCAGTCCCCCATGATTGTTTACTCTCACCTACATGCCCTATATTTTCATTTCCTTTATTACTTGTTACACATGGTTTCCTCTAAGTGGGATGATTTTCTTCCTTGTTTGCCTCCTGGCATAGGACCACCCATTCTTTATCCATTAGCTTAGGTGCCACCCATCCACAAAGATTCCTCTGTCCTCTCCACTCTTCCCAATCTGCTCTTCAGTTACCCACGCAGAATTCCTATCCTTTTTATCTACATCATCATTTAAAATTTCTATCTTTTACTACTTAAGTCTGTAAGACCCTTCCAGATACATACAAAATAAAAGTCCCTGCCTTCAGAGATTTCATAATCTGGTTGGGGAGACAGAACTTGAATACATGTGATATCAATAAAAAGAAATATGACAAGAGCAGTCCAAGCTAGTTTTAAGGTAACGACCCTGTCATACCCATTTTCCATTATTCACTATGCCTACCACCTTGTCCTGTATATAGCAAGCACTAATGTTTATTCAATTAGATACTTCCAAAGAATATGCAGTTTCATTTAAACCTGTACAGAGCCACCTGCCCTCAAGCCAGTGGTCTCAGTGGAAGTTATGGGAAATGAACTTCTGTTTTGGGGTGCTTCAGCAGATACGTGTCATCTCTTATTTTTTCTGCAGTCACCACTCAGCATTCATGGCTCCTTGTTTTCTGCAAGGCGAAGCAGCAGAACAAGTCTTTTTAGTTTCAAAGGTAGAGGAAAAGATATTGGATCTGAGACTGAATTTGCTGACGACGAGCGTAGCATCTTCGGGGACAACGAGAGCAGAAGGGGCTCACTGTTCGTGCCCCACAGACCTCGGGAGCGGCGCAGCAGTAATATCAGCCAAGCCAGTAGGTCCTCCCCAGGGCTGCCGGTGAACAGGAAGATGCACAGCGCCGTGGACTGCAATGGTGTGGTCTCCTTGGTGGATGGACCCTCAGCCCTCATGCTCCCCAATGGACAGCTTCTGCCAGAGGTGATAATAGATAAGGCAACTTCTGATGACAGTGTAAGGACGTTTTAAATACCTCAGGCATGGCTCGGCCCTTACTCTTGCATCCATCAGTCTCTCTGCTGGAGGTGCCTTCTCTCTGGTCCTGTGAATGCCTCTGCATCTTGCAATACCTTTTATGTTAGAAACACACCTTTAACTGATTAACATATTCCTCATACTATTGTTATAGGTATCTAAGGTACTTATCTACTGTTACTGTACTTGATTATGAATCATCCCCTTAGAAAACAATTTATAAAAGATCTATATATCAGCACAAAGTGCATTGATAATGCTGATCTTATTAGTTGATAATAGGTCCCATGTCTCTAAGGAAATTTGGATTATTTGTCACCTACTGCTATTTTTTTCAAGTCACTACTTAATATATACCTTATTGCAAGGATCTTATTTGAGTTGTTAATAATCAATAATAGTAATAATAACAGCAGACACATTAGTATTTACAACAGCCCTATGAGGTGATATATTATTATCCCTGTTTTACAAATGGGGAAACTGAGGCACAGGGAAATAAAGCAGTTTGTGCAAGGTCACTCAGCTAATAAATGGTAGTCCTAAAGTTCAAACAGAGACCCTCTATTTCAAAGCTTGTGCTTTTAACCACCATACTTCCTCTCCAATGTGTGGTAGGCTTCTTGGAAATAATTTAGAATAACTGTGCTTTTTCCCATACATAAATGAAACTTACTGTTTTCGTTAAAAAACAACAAAACTCTTTTATCTGGAATCTATGAATAAAAACATAATATCCAAAACACATACAGAAATGCAAACGTATATATATAAAGACAAAAACAAAACACCTTTCCAAAACAACAGTTTCAAGAGTTTAGGAATCATTGAGTGGTTTGAGAAAAGGGTGTGATGAGGCTTGAAAGTCTTTCTGGTTTATGGAGTATCTAGGTAACCTCTTAAGGCCACTCACTATGTTACACTGCATTACTCAGTATCAGCAAGGCTTTGACTTTGAACTTGGGCTACCTGTTCATAAATTCACAGTTGCAGACAATGTAGTATTTCAAGTGAGAATAAAGTTCCATCAGACCCATGGCCACACACATATTTTCGTTTGGTTTGAAAGAATGCATGTGCTTTTAGGTCACCTGTGACCTCTATGCTTGCACAATACAGCTTCAGCCCTCTGTGAAGGTATTTATCCTTATCAAACAAGCATGTTAAATTTCCATAGAATCAGATCTTTGTTGTGTTTTGCTTTTCAACAATGTGTATTACCTGTAAAAGATTATATAATGTGTATCAGATTTGGAGATTAGTTCCTATTTTTAAATGAAATGTTTCATTTAATACTTTATTTTTACCCACAGAAAAATCAGTAGCACTCTAAATCCTGAAACTAAAACTACAAAACTTGAGTAATTGGTGGATACTTTAAGATTCAGTAGAAATGCAAAACATAATAGTGTGGAATAATGTACAGTTTAGATGAAAAAATTGCATGAGAAATAATATAAACTTGACACCTGAGACATGTCTACATGGAGAACAAATTATTTAATCAACACAGCTGATTGTTTGGGGGAAAAAGAAATCTCTGCTTCTGGAAAGTCAGTAAATTAGAGAGTATATCAGAGAAAACATGGTTATAGAAAGATTTCTATATAAAGCCACCTGCAGATATGTGTGTGTGTCTTTGCACATACACATACCTGCATACATACACACATACATATATTTTTGCCTGCTTGTCAATGTTTTAATATATACACAAATATAACTATATCTAAACAACTGTACAACTTTACAACTCTAGATCTGTATATCTATATATATGTAGAATGGTGTGTGCGTGTGTATACACATGTGCATACATACCACACACAACTAGATAGATAGATGATAAATGTAGACTTGTATAGTTGTTTGTATGTATATATATGTGTGTGAGCATGTGTGTGTGTGTGTATTGTTGGCCTGCACTGAACTGGCATAGTGTTTTAACTTTGAATTAGTTGCTAAGATTTAGAAATAAGACATCTTCACATAAAAATGGGTATACCTGGTAAGACTGAGCTCATATTCCTGCATAGCAGCAATCCTTTAGAGCTGGAGAGTGGTCACCTCTTTTAGATGGAGCTTATATTCTCCATTTTGCTACAGTTTCCATCAGTCTTAATTGTCCTTTTCCAACTGAGTCATTTATCCTCATAGCCTCAGAGCAGTTCATGAGATCTTCCTTGGCAGTGAGAAACAGTCATTACAGTGGCCTCTGTTATTGCTGAACTTTAACAAAGAATAACTACAGAAATTTAATTTAACCTAGAAATCTAGGTTCTACCCCTTTACACACACGCCACTTACAACAATTGTTTAGCTGTTTACACGTAGGATTCTTACATAGTAAAACTATCTGAATAAATTGGAAACCCTGAAAGATAGATAATGATAGTGAATTTAACAATGAAAGCAGCTCATTTTATTTTTTATTTCCTAAGTACTAATTCATTTAATACTCATAGCAAGATTGTAAGGCAAGTGCTATGATAATCCCCATTTTACCAATGATGAAATGGAGACAGAGAGGTTAAGTAACTCTCCTATGATACACAGCCTGTAAGTAGCAGAGCCATGATTCAAATCAACAATCTAGACTCTACTTTTAATTATTCACTACAACTATGTGAGCAAGATTTTATTTTCTACCTACAATTTATTAGAATTCCATTCTTAAAACTGTAATTAATCATCTTTTTTTTTTTTTCAGGGTACAAACAATCAAATACACAAGAAAAGACGTTCCAGTTCTTACCTCCTTTCTGAGGATATGTTGAATGATCCCAATCTCAGACAAAGGGCAATGAGTAGGGCAAGCATATTAACAAACACTGTAGAAGGTACGGAATAATATTCTCTTTACCATACAGATTTTTAACAAAATTCAGGTAAGTCCTAGTCAGCCTTAAATAGATATAGCAAGTTCTTAGAAAGAATTCAAAGGATATAAAATGGTTATAAACAATGGTAAGGCTAACCAATGGACACTAAAGGAATTGTCTTTATGTGCTTAAAAAGTGGATAAAGTTATTTGTGATTAAAGACAGGCTTTGGGTGATACGCCTTTCAAAGATAGATAGCTTTATGGTACTAAATGAAGAAAGGGAGGTTAACCCAGGCCTGTGTGGTTCTCTCACTATGTATTCTTCGAAACTTTACCTAGCCTCTTGGAATTGATCATCTTTCTAAAATGTGAGAAAATAATACAAACTTCCAGGTGTTTATACATTGCTGCCTCTGAGCACCTTCTATAAAATTGCAAAATGGTAATATGTGACATGACATCTGTTAAGATTGTGATCCAAAGGAATTAGAGAAAGCAGTTCAGAGAATATGATGTGAATAGTAGTGGTCGGTCAAAGGGTGGCAATTTAAAAAATGTGTTGGCTCCCACCTTCTCTCCCCACAATGTGCCCCAGGTCTTACCTTGTCCACGGGCTACCACCTCATCCCCCGACATACCCATGATGGGCCCAGTCAAAGTTTTCACCCACCTCCTAAGTTTATGATGAGAACTAAATGGGCTAATGGTGTTCAGTGCCTATTGCATGAGTCACTCTATAAATTATTTCCAGTCTCTTGGTTCTGGGATCGTTTTCACCTGTGAACTAGCAAGAGCTTTTCCTGGAGAGAGTAGAAGTGTGTTATTGTTGTAATGGGTTAAGGACACAGGGGAAAGTATGTATACTGGTATACATACATTTATCTTAAAAATATACATATCTCCATTAAGAAAACATCATTTCTCTTGTTTACTGTCATATGTTAAGTATATGTTTCTCTCAGAGATATCCATATCTGCTCTCATTCATTAATTTCACTGCCTTCTCCTTGGTTGATCTAGTAAATGAATGTGTGATCTAAGATTTTTATGTAACATGCTATGCTTTCATAGAAACAGTACTGTTAAATTTGCAAAGTCTAAACAGAAGACTTGTTTCAGTGTTAAAGTATACTGCTGATTTGTATCTGGTGAGGAATAAAAAGTATACAATATGCAAATGATTGACTTGGTGTTCTCTGTTGTTTTTTCTCCCAGAACTCGAGGAGTCCAGACAAAAATGTCCACCTTGGTGGTACAGATTTGCACACACATTCTTGATCTGGAATTGCTCTCCATATTGGATAAAATTCAAAAGACTTATCTATTTTATTGTAATGGATCCTTTTGTAGATCTTGCTATAACCATTTGCATAGTTTTAAACACTCTGTTCATGGCTATGGAACATCACCCAATGACTGATGAATTCAAAAACGTGCTCACTGTGGGAAATTTGGTAAGTCTCTTAATGTGAGTTATGTTCCCAGAGCTGCTCTCTTTGTTTGTCATGATTGTCGTTTCTTTTTTTGAAGTCAGATGGATATTTAGTTAGGTAATTAGGCATCTCCAGAATTCACAGTATGAATCATTGTACAGAGTCAAGTTTCTGGTGATAGTTACTATTTTTAAATAATTTTGCAGTAATATTGAGGCCTATAAATAACAATACTATTTCCATAACGAGTCACATCTTGGGAGTTGATAGTGTGTTCTGTTTTTCTGCTGGCATGTCTCTTAGCAGCAACACTTTGAAAATTTGATACTTCCTTACCCATTTTATAATTACACTGCAGCTTCCTTGTGAGTACATACCCTACATGTTTTCAGAAAAGCTATGGATACTTTGTTTTGACATAATAGGTAAAGAATCTAGACCTTTGGAGGCCCAAAGTCCTGAGTTTGAATCCTGGTTTTGCCTCTTACTCGTTATATGACCTTGGGAAAATGTTTTAATATCTATAATCTTTAATTTTCTCATTTATATAATTATAATACTTTATAAAATAATAATAATTCTTTAATATAATGATAATAATTTTTTATATATCATATTATTGAAAGGAATAAAAACTTTCTACTTATCATCCTGGCATATAGTAAGTACTCAACAAATCAAACCTATTGTCATCATCACCATCATGCTTTCAATGAATCAGCAGAAACAAGCCTTAAGAACAAGAATATTTAGAAACCAGAATGATTAAACTAGACACAGAAGACATAAGGGCAGACTAGAAGGATTCTGGTAGGAAAGTTGATGCTCTTTAATGTGCAGTGTTGATCGCACTCAAGTTAATTAATGCCTTACGGCAAGTAGAAAGTGCTAGTATCCAACAATCTGCATGAACCAGGCAGAAGTACTATTTCACAGCCAAAAGGTCCCAACTTATGACTCTTCATAAATCATAAAAAACTCTGGATGTCTTTGCAAATGTCTGTATAAGATAATTTTACCTTTGCCGTGGTCCCAAACCAATCGATCTTTGAAGTCAAAGAGTGTTTCTGAGTTGATCGTCTCTCTAAAATTTCTTATGAATATTCCCAGTCAGGATGTTTAAAACTCATGTGCTCTAAGTTAGCATTCTTCTTTCTTTCTATTCCTCACTGGAAAAAGGCAGGACTGTCTAGTTTCTAATTGTTGGTAGAGGTCCAGATTATGAAAATCAGTACCTTCTTACTGAGTTGGCTGCATCACTGTGAATCCAAAAAAGACTCACCATGTTTCTTGTCTATGACTACAATCCCAAGTCTGGGTGGTCCCTGCTAGTCTTCCTGATGCTGCATTATTTTAAAAATGACTCACGCAGTTATAGAGCTAATAACTATTTCCCTTTGAACCTTCTTTGCTCAGTTTCTTTGAATCAAATTGTACCCGAATGATTCATAAGTCTTTCACTGTTGCCTTTTTAAATGAGTCCTTTGATGCCATGTCATGAATTAATGATGTTTTGTGATGCACTTTTGTGTCAAAGCTTTGGCAGTCTTACCTTACCTGCTACTGTATCAATTAAATACTTTTTCCTTTACTGATAAATCTTTAAAGAGTGAGTCAATTTGTTCCTTATTACCCTAAGAGTAGTCAGACCAGAAAAAAAGCCTGGTTCAAAATTTTTGTATCAGTCTGTTTCCTTTATATTATCTTCCAGAATAACTTGTTGACCCACAAAACTTGTTTTGCAAAGATTGCCTGTGTTAATTTTCTAAGGTTTTATTTATCTGAAATTTTAGTATGCTTTTCTATGATGCTATCTAAAGGTGATGAGAGCTGATAGGTGAGTTAGAGCTTCATAACCCTTCGATGCTTGTATTAGAGCTATAGGACTAGTGATACTTGGTTTGTAGGATTGAATGAAATAATAATATGTTTATAAAGTATCTAGCACATTGTCTGAAACACAGTAAATGCTAAACATATAGTCATTATTATCGTTAGCTTGATTCCATACCTTCTAATAATACTAGAAAAATATTATATTTTTTCATGTAGGTCTTTACTGGCATCTTTGCAGCTGAAATGGTTTTAAAACTAATTGCCATGGATCCATATGAGTACTTCCAAGTAGGATGGAATATTTTTGACAGTCTTATTGTGACTTTAAGCTTAGTGGAGCTTTTTCTAGCAGATGTGGAAGGATTGTCAGTTCTACGATCATTCAGACTGGTAAATATAGACCAACCTTACCATTATATTCTATATATAAAGGGGTGTTTCTTTGGTTTTGCATTATTATTATTTAAAACTTTTGGAGGTTTGAATCAAAAGACAAGATTAGGTCTCAATATCTAGTAAAATAAAGCCCATTCAGTAACATGTACTTAGAGCTCAAAATCACAGAGATATCTTAATTTTAGGATCTTGAAGACATATTCAGTTGTATGCTAGTATAATGGTAGGGCGATGATTTATATCGCAATAAGCTTATGGTTTATAGAATTTCAACCATTATAATATGTTCAGTACTTTGTGTATTTGATAATTAAAGATTATACCCTCAAAATTGTTCTCTGATATCAAAAATATTAAAAAGTTAAGACTTTCTAATGCTTTTTTCCTCTAACATGTTAGGCTTTCTCCCTATGTCAGCATGAAAAAAATTATGAAAGTATCAGAAAATAGAATTAAGGATAAATTTTCAATTTAAAGGATATCTGATAGAGGTTCTATAACAATCCTGAACTAAAATTACAGTTCCTTCAAAATTTGTGTGGTAATTATATGGTGGCAAGTATAACAAAATAACAGGAATATTGAGAGTAGATCAAAACGAAAAGTAGAAATAATCGATTTTAGCTAGGTAATAATGACAGTATTTTAGAACTAAATTTTGGAACAAAATTCAAGATTGGAAACATTGAGAACTTTTTCATAAAAATTAATATTAAGCTTTGTGTTGACTTTTAGCTCCGAGTTTTCAAGTTGGCAAAATCTTGGCCAACACTGAACATGCTGATCAAGATCATTGGTAACTCAGTGGGGGCTCTGGGTAACCTCACCTTGGTGTTGGCCATCATCGTCTTCATTTTTGCCGTGGTCGGCATGCAGCTCTTTGGTAAGAGCTACAAAGAATGTGTCTGCAAGATCAATGAAGACTGCACACTCCCACGCTGGCACATGAATGACTTCTTCCACTCCTTCCTGATTGTGTTCCGAGTGCTTTGTGGAGAGTGGATAGAGACCATGTGGGACTGCATGGAGGTCGCCGGTCAAGCCATGTGCCTTATTGTTTACATGATGGTCATGGTCATTGGAAACCTGGTGGTATGTAATCTGATGTTCATACATTTAAAATTCTCCATAGAAAATTTTACATGATGATATGATCAGTTACTTTTATAATTATAGGATTAATTAGATCTAAAACTGTTAATTATAATGGAATATTGACTATTTTAATTCAGTGAAGAACAGAAAAGAAAATGAAATATTGTCTACATTTCTGTGCCAGATAACCTATATTTATATTTTTCACAATATTTATTTTAATGGAAAGTTTTCTATTTTATTCTTTCATTTTGATAGTGATGTCATATGAATTACATCTGTGGTTTTCATGTCTCTTAAGTGTTGATTCCAATGTGAAGCTATACTAGTAAATAGAATATGATTAAATTAACAATAACAAAAATGAAGTTATAGTGGAACAAGGCAAATGGAAGGACTAGTCCTGCTCTGTTAAAGTCACATATAAGACTAGCACCTATAACAAGTATCAGCAAACAATATGGCCCATGGGCCAAATCCCACACACTGCTTGTTTTTGCATGACCCTGCAAAACTGAAATGTTTTTTACATTTTTAAATTGTTAAAAAAAAATAAAGAAAAATCTTTTTTGGCACATGGAAATTATATGAAATTCAAATTTCAGTTTCCATAAGCAAAATTTATTGAAACATGGACATGCTCATTCATTTACATATTGTCTTTGGCTGTTTTACTCTACACAGACAGGTCTGAGTAGTGTCCATAGAGATTCTTTGTCCTACAAAACCTAAATAATTTATTATCGGGCCCTTTTACAGAAAAAGTTTGCCCACCACTGCTCTATAGCATCTCTTTTACAAGTGATCTGCTTCTCCATTAGTGTTTTCCTAGCTTGTATGCCTTCACTGTTTGTTTCCTCCTTTCTTATACGTACCTGTTGGTAGGAATTTTCAAGCTTAGAGGCAGGAGATAATTGGGATAAGATGCTCTTCAATGACTCAATTCAATTTTCAAAGCCACCATGTTGGTTTGGTTTAGTTGGTCTACCTAGCATCAGACTCTTCATCAGGTATCCCAGGAGGTTGTCTGTGATAATAGCCATATGGTTAGTACCTTCACTCCCCACTGGCTTGAATATAAGTTGCTCATTTTTTTTGTCCTTGCAGCCCACATGCCAACCTGAAAGTTGCTAAGAGAGTAGACTTAAATGTTCTCACCACAAGAAAATAATGGTAATTATGAGACATGATGGAGGTATTCCCTAATATATAAGGATATCAAATCAACATGTTGTACACTTTAAACTTACACAGTGTTGTATGACAATTATCTCTCAGTAAAGCTGGAAAAATGAAATCTAATTGAAAATTTGAAGGAAAAAAAATCTATTAACATTTGCATTGATTAGGGAGACTAAAGGGTAAAATGAGCCCTTGGCTTCCCATCAACATTCCTATTAAAACATACACATAAACAAACATGCATTTCATAGTGAAATATATTTTTCATTGACAATAAAAACCAAAATGAAAATAACCAATTCTGAATTCCTTAATGATTCATCAAATTGTTTTCTATGCTTTTCTTTTCCCCCTCCCTCTCAGACTCTTCTCTTAAACTAGACATATTAACACAGACATTTTTTTAAAAAATTTTATTTATTTATTTTTGGCTGTGTTGGGTCTTCATTTTTGTGTGTGCACTTTCTCTAGTTGCGGCGAGCGGGGGCCACTCTTCATCGCGGTGCGCGGGCCTCTCACTGTCGCGGCCTCTCTTGTTGCAGAGCACAAGCTCCAGACGTGCAGGCTCAGTAGTTGTGGCTTACGGGCCTAATTGCTCCGCGGCATGTGGGATCTTCCCAGACCAGGGCTTGAATCCATGTCCCCTGCATTGGCAGGCAGATTCTCAACCACTGCGCCAGGGAAGCCCAACACAGACATTTTTAACTTGTGCTTTTCTACTTACATTTCTGAGAAATTGTTTTAGGTGTGAGCAAAATCAGGGGTGAGTCCCTTTTCCTCAGTTTGGTCTAATTTCGATTGTTTAAATATGAGGTAGATGTTTTTGGCCATGAAGAGACTTAACTGAAAGTTTATTTCAATTATCTTTTTGTTTTTTATATAAAACACTTTTAAAATATGATTTACGTATTTTTAGCCCTCTGTAAGAATTCTTTTTGTTTTTTCTTTCCACAATGTTCAGTTCACCTGGACCCTTACCTCCAGGAGGAAAAACAGAAATAGTTTGCACACAAACAGAACTTTGCTTCAAGTCGGAGTTGTCTTGACCTGGAGTTGTCCGGGGCGAAAATGATTGGCAGTGAAGCCACCCAATCATAATGCCATTGTCTCATTTGAATTGGGTTCAATGGGCAGGTCTTTTTCTTTGCTTTAAAAGCTTCATTAAGGGACTTCCCTGGCAGTCCAGTGGTTAGGACTCCATGCTTCCACTGCAGGGGGCACGGGTTTGATCCCTGGCCAGGGAACTAAGATCCCGCATAACACACAGTGCAACCAAAAAAAAAATAAAAAGCCTCATTAAGTTGCAAGTTGGCAAAAATCTCGGACAGAATATTTTATTACAGGCACTCTGCAAGTATTATGTGTTCCATTTGTTGTAATAAGTGACGTTTATCTCCTGGGAAAAGTGAACACAGATCTTGGCTTAAGTTACCTTCAGCACGATAGACACTAGTCACAATTTTCTTGTTCTACTTGTTTCTCACAGGTAACAAATATCAATTAAAGGTAGTGTTAGAAGAGCTATTTAGACCCATAAAAGGGAATTTGGACAAGGGATTCCTGCTGTAGAAAGGAACTTAGGAATGACATCCTGGTAATGGTGAGGGAGCATTCTCTTTGCTCCTCATACCCTTTAAGGGTATGGCTGATCTCTGTTCTCCAGAGTTCACAGAAGCTCAGACATGGAGAGACTGATGAGGACTCTAGCTTCTCCTCTACACCTATCATATGTTCTTATCTATGGGTGAAGAAGTGCAGGGCTCTTCATTGCTGGTTTGGATTTTGGCCTGTATTTCAGAAAACTGCACTTATTTTCGTTTTTATTTCCTGTCTCCCTTTTTCTCCACACCCTATCCCCACCCTGACATAGGTCCTCAACCTATTTCTTGCTTTATTATTGAGCTCATTTAGTTCAGACAATCTTACAGCAATTGAAGAAGACACTGATGCAAACAACCTCCAGACTGCAGTGGCTAGAATTAAAAAGGGAATAAATTATGTGAAACAAACCTTACGTGAATTTTTTCTAAAAGCATTTTCCACAAAACCAAAGATTTCCAAAGAGATAAGACGAACAGAAGATCTAAATTATAAGAAGGAAAACTACATCTCTAACCACACAGTTGCTGAAATGAGCAAGGATCACAATTTTCACAAAGAAAAAGATAAAACCAGTGGTTTTGGAAACAGCATGGACAAATACTTGGTGGAAGAAAGTGATTGTCAATCATTTATTCATAATGCCAGCCTCACAGTGACAGTGCCAATTGCACCCGGGGAATCTGATTTGGAAATTATGAATACTGAGGAACTTAGCAGTGATTCAGATAGCGAATACAGCAAAGGGGTAAGATTGTTTTATACACATTTTGTTTCATGTTATTAACTAGTACGAAATGAGTTAAAATTTCAGATTTTTTGCTGTCCTAAGTTTATTCTAATATTGCATACTAATGAGTAGTTTGTGTGTATGTGAATTTATACTGTAGCTTCCTGAAGGTTCATATGGTAAGGTTTTACTTACTGGTTCTTCATACCTGATATAATCCATTTAGCGAAATTTGAAAGTACCAGGTATCTTTAAGTCTTCCCTTCCTTTATTCCCTGTTTGTTATCAGTTGTAAAGCCATATACCTTTCACAGTGTCTGTTGAATCCACAGCTCTTGTTCATCACCTTTCCCTTTGCCCTCTCTACTTCTTGCCGAAACCATTCCACGTGGATTCCCCACTGGTGTCTCTGCCTCCATTTTCCATCTACTCTAATCCACTTGTTTGATTAATTTTACTTAGGTTCAATCCTAATCATACTTCTCCTTTGAAGTATCCTTGATCCCCAGCGTAGATTTGAATTGTGGACCATACATAAAGCCTTCACACCATGGCCCTGACCAGCTGTCTCTCCTGGGCTTGCTAGGGCTCCTGTGCCTGAACCAAGCCAATTTCCTTCTGGGCCACATACACTCACAACCTGCATGATTTTGCTTGGGGTTTCCTTCTTCAGTCAAAATCCTAAACACGTACTTCAAGTCATAGCCCTCAGCTTCCTCGCGTGTAAAATTATTAGCCCTTACAGCATAGGGTTAGGTGAGGGTTAAATGAATTAACACATGTAGGATGCTTAGAACAATACTCAGAGTGCTCAGAAGTGGTAGCTGTTGCATCATTCCTAGTTTCTCTTCAAACAGATATGATCTCTTTTTTTTTTTTTTTTTTGCGGTACGTGGGCCTCTCACCGCTGCGGCCCCTCCCGCTGCGGAGCGCAGGCCCAGCGGCCACGGCCCACGGGCCCAGCCGCTCCGCGGCACGCGGGATCCTCCCGGACCGGGACACGAACCCGCGTCCCCTGCATCGGCAGGCGGACTCCCAACCACTGCGCCACCAGGGAAGCCCGATATGATCTCATTTTGAACCCCACACAATTTTATGCCTTTTCCTAGATTTATTATTTAGCCTTGTATCTTAATTTTTTTGAGAAATTATTGTATGCATCAAATGGTACTGTAAACTCATTGAAAACGGGAGACTTTTATTAAAACTTTTTTTGTATCCTCCTTCCCCACACCTGGTTGCATATATCCAAAGCATTATTGAGCTGTATTTTTATTAATATGGAATATAATAATCATAAGTGAGTTTTATCACAAAGCATTTTTTATGGCATCTCTTTAAAGTTCTAAGATATCACTTTAAAATACTTTTCCTTTCTTTAGGTCATATTTGAAAGTATTTGACAGGTATTTCCCAAACATCTTCTATCTTCTTAACCTTATATCAAGAACTATCCTCCATGAATTTATAGTGGATTTTGGAACAAAGATACACAGCTCTGTGTGTGTGTATGTGTGTGTGTACGTGTGGGCATTGCACACCATATGACCAGTACTAGGTGCAGAGTAAATGTTCAATACTTACTTATTGAATGAATAGATGATTACATAAATTATGAACATATATATTTTACGTAGCCAAAAAAATTATTTCCAAGATCACAAAGTAAGGAATCAAATATTTTATTTTTTATTTAAAAAATCTTTACGTGGAAGAAGTAATCCAAAATTCAAAAGGTGTGGTTGATTTGGCTTGAAGGTAGAAAATTCGATTTCACATACCCCGCTCAGGAACAGTAATCTGGGTCTAGTCTCATGTGAAAATGAAAACTAATTCAATTACCCATTTTTCTGCCTACAAAGATTAGAGTTCTAAAACCCTAACTGCCTGGCAGACTTTCTGAATAAGCTTGAGATTCTGGGTGTTAAAGCACTTTGGTAGCTTGGTTGAGTTTACCAAATACTGCTTTCCTCTTAATATTTGGGAGGAATCATTTCTTACCTGGTCGTTTTTTCTTTTCTCAAAGCCTGTGACTCTCCCTACATGGATCTCCTTAGTCGCTGGCAAAAATCATATTCTTAGTATGTTGAATTATAACATTGTAAAAGGGACTATAATAGACCTGCCCCATTTAGCACCTCATTTCCTAACTGAGAGAGCCATTAAGAGGAAGCGACTTTTATCTATAGTTATAAAGCTGGTTCAAGGCAGAGCCAAGACAAGAATCCCAGTCTTGTTATTCATAAGTCTACCTTCCTTCTCCTGTCTTTGTCTATTTCAGGGATAAAACCCACATTCCTATTGGGGTTAATACCCAGTTTGTCTCCCCTGGGATACTGAGCCATGCTTCTGAAGAATTTACATACCCTGTAGTATCCAGAGGAAGTTTGTGATGTCATAGTATCCAGCAGTCTTTTATAATTAATGATTTAGTCTATAAACTATTTGGTTACTGAAATAGACTATTTTAACCATCCATAAAGTTACTCTGCCACCTAGCCCATAAATCCTTCCTAAAAAGCATGAAATTTAGTGCACTTAAACTGTGTTATCCAAAGACCATTTGATGGTAACATTTTAATATTCTTAATTATCATTGGTTTTTGTTCATGACATTATAGTCATAACTACATGAGAAAAAATACACTTTTTCTAATTCATATCTGTGGTTTACATGGTATAATATTCAGGAGCTTGAGGCTACCTCATAGGTTGTAATAAGGAATACATAAACTAGTCTCTTTAAATCATTTAGCACAGTATTTGAGTTGGTAAGCCCTAAAAAAGTGTTAGGTGTTGTGTTTATTATTGAATTCATCATCATTATTAGCCCTAAAAGTTCAGATTTTAAATTATGGATTTTGAAAGTTTATCCTTCTTCATAAGACATTTTCCATGGCATATCTCAAAATGTGTCATCTTGAGTACATTCAAACCTACTTGACTATATACTGGACTTGAGAAGTAATGAAATTTCAAGCTCTACAGGAAATTTGTTAGATAATATTAAGCTGTTGCCAACTGTGACACCCTGTGTCTAGAGCCTGTCTCTCCAGTAGCTTGAGATTTAAATGATCCTAGTTATGACTTGTTGGTTTTATTTTTCAATTTGGATGACTAAAAAAATGCAGATTTCCTTATTCACCTAAAGTGTTTCTAACGCCCTTCCAGGCTAACCTCCCTGCTCTAATTCCCCTAATCTTCAGCTCTTACTTGAGTTCCCAATTTTTTAACTGCTATGTAACTTTCTTATTTTTCATGCCTCAGATATCTTTGAAATAATGATTCTATGTTCTTGATGAACCTTGCCCAAAGAGGGCAAATCATGATTATCCAATGGAAAATAATGCCCAATTGAATATATGTAAGTTATTTAAGTCTTAAGCACTACCTTGGAGTATGATGAAGAATGCATCCTCTGGAGATAGAATACTTGCCTTAGATCCTGTATTTAATGTTTGCTAATAACTCCATGATCTTGAGCAATTTAAAAAAAAACCTCTTTTTTTTCTAGTTTACTTGTATGCAACATAGAATTGTAATAAAGATTGAATGATTTAGGTAAACAAGTGCCTGTTGGAAAATAAGTGCCCAATTAACAATTATCATGGGTATGATTAGTAGTCATGTACACACTGTAAGTAGCTATTTGCTACAGGTTAAATTTTAGTGTGTAAAGACAAACACAGGAGCTTGTTACAAACGCCTGTTCTGGTCCATATCCTCCAAACTCTGCCGAAGTCTGGATGCAACCTCAGAATCCTTACCAGCAGGGTTCCCAGGGGCCACTGTGCTGGATTGAGTTTGCATAGGAAGTGAACCTAAATTCATCCCTGGTTTATTTTGATCCAGGTTTCTGAGAAATCATTTTCTTTATTCAGGGGCTGGGGTATTTTCCACTTTTACCTGTTGAAGAATCTGCATTTTGAACAGGGGGAAAGAATATCTTTGACCTTTGACACCTTTTCCTCTTTCCCTTTCCCCATCCAAAAAAACAAATCCACCCTCTCTTTCATGTCCTAGCATACTTGTTTTCCCATTGTATTTTATGGAGACTTTCTGTCCTCTTCTAGTGTCGGCTCTCAGATAGGCAGGTTTCCGTGTTCTGATAGACAGTTATATATACACTCCAGATTGAAGTCAAAATATTTTGTAATCAAACACCTTACCAGCAAATGACCAAAGAGATGAGTTCAAATAAGGTGTTGAGTAAAATATCTAAAAGAGTTTTGAGGCAGTAATTGGCAATAGAACGTCAGCATTTCTCTGAAGATAGAGTCTGTCTCAGAATCGAGAAAGACATACTGTCATCTCAAGGGGACCCATGAGAGTAAGACTCCTGTCACTGCTTCTCAGAATACACTCTAAACTGATGGCCCTTTTCAGAATCAGCCTCCACCTGAGGCAGCCCTCTAAGCCCTAGGCAAACATTAACACACTGCAGATTTTCACCATTAACAATGAAGTGCTTCATTATTATGAGCCTCAAATGAAGCATGAAATGCACCCATTCATTCAATAAATATTTATTGAGATCTACTATGCTCCAGGCACTGTGCTAACAGCTGCTTAGAGAAAAAAAAGAAAAATTTTTTTTCACCCAGCTGCAGTAATTCAATGTGATCTGGCTTAACTAAATTCTTAAGAAGTGTAGTTTTTTTCTCTTTTTTAAATCATGCCAAATCTCAAAATTGAAAGTTCTAAAAAACTAAATTAATAAATTTTTTTAAATGGAGAGGTCTTTCTTGGAGAGTTAAAGAGACCCTTTGTTTTCAGTTATTACAGATTACTTATTTCTTTGCTTTAAAGATTAAAAAAAGAGCCATTTTACAGAATTGTGACGTTGATTTGAAAGTGTATGTAAATTTGGGGGAAAAACGTTAAATTTATCCAGTTTACTTCTCCAAATATTTTAAAACATAACAGCCTCATGTGATTTTGGAGTGGTTAAACTCTGACAGCTTTCAGAGAAGGTACTAGCTGTGAATCTAATACCCCAAATTTTCTTTACTGCTCTTTTGACAAATGTATCTATTATCAAGGCTTAAGGGAATTTGCTCCTGTTGTGTGCTCAGCAGAAAGGAAAACATCCTGTGTAAAGTTTTCCTGCACGGAAAGATCCCCTATTCATTCCTCCTCCAGTCAAACCCAGAAACTTTACTCAGCTTTACTTAGTAGCTCTTTAGTGTTTTGAAACACTGTCTCCAAGTTGTGAGGGAGCTAGCTGAGGTCCTTGAAGAAAGGAAACCAATGAAACCTTCAAATTTTACATAATCAAACTTCTCACCTTCAACGGAGTGTCATTTAAAACACTGCAGACACAGTTATGCAAAATTTTTGTTCTTAAAGGAAGCAGAGTCCATTCACTTTGATCATTGTGAGAGAAAAAAATTGTGAAGGAATACATGAGTACATGTTCAGTAAACTGTGGCTATTCAGTTTTTCAACTCACATTTCCTAAGCACCTGCTTTTTGCCTTATGCCTGCTGGACACTAGAAAGGTGTCATCGGTGTACTCATTTCCTCAGTAGACGTAGGCTCAGGGTCTTCTTGCTCTCTGGCACTGTCTTAAGTGATAAAGAGTAAAGCAAGGTCCCTGCCTTTGAAGAGAAACATGTATGGAAATCAGAAATTATAATTAAACATATAAAAAAGAATTAAAACAGATTTTTAGAAAAAAATATTGAAACAGGATAAAGATATGGTTAATAATCTTGAAAATAAACTGGAATACTTCACAGTGGAGAATGCACTTGAAGAGGATTTTATGGTAAAAAGACAATTCATCAGGAAAAAGAGAATGAAAGAGAGGGAGCCCGGAAGAGAGGGGGAGGAAGGGAGGGAGACAGAGACGGAGAGAGACAGAGACACCCTTCTGGTAGATGTAATGGGCCCAGCATGTGGAAGCATCCAGATGCACAAAAGCCCATGAAATACACATGAGGATGGCCTGCTGGGAAGTAGTAAGTGACAGAGGTAAATTGGAGCCAGAGAGTAAATGGCTTGACTTACCATGGGCAAGAGATTGAAATAGGTTTCTTTTTATTTACCAGAAAGAGGAAACTTTGTCTTGTTTTGTTATACTTTGTTGTTAGCAAGCCTCTACTTTTTTTTTTTTGCGGTTCGTGGGCCTCTCACTGTTGTGGCCTCTCCCGTTGCGGAGCACAGGCTCTGGACGCGCAGGCTCAGCGGCCATGGCTCACGGGCCTAGCCGCTCCGCGGCATGTGGGACCTTCCCGAACTGGGGCACGAACCCGTGTTCCCTGCATCGGCAGGTGGACTCTCAACACTGCGCCACCAGGGAAGCCCCTCAAACCTCTACTTTTAAAGAAAGTTTGGTTGGGGGTGTAATAAAGGGGAGAGGATGAAAGGCTATTGAAGCCATCCGAAGCACACGTGATGAGGGCTCAATCTAAGGGAGTGGTGGTGGCGTGTGGGATAATGGTAAGACACCGCAAGTTAAAAAATAAGGGCTCAGGGTCTGGATATGTGAGTTGTGAGCTGTTTCAAAGGGTATATTCATTTCCTGTGGCTGTCATAACAGAGTATCACAAACTTGGGGCTTTATACAACAGAACTGTATCCTTAGATAGTTCTAGAGGCTGTAAGTCTGAAATGGAGGTGTAGGCAGGGCCATGCTCTCTGCAGGCTCTAGCGAGGATCCTACCTCGCTTTTTCCTAGCTTCTGATGGTGGTACTTCATCCTTGGCCTCCCATGTGTAGCAGCTGCATCACTCTGATCTTCGCTTCTGTTGTCACATGGAGTTCTCCCTATCTATCTCTGTCTTTTCATTTTATAAAGACACTAATTATGTTAGATTAGGGCCCACCCTAGTGAATTCCTCTCAATTTGACTACATCTGCAAAGACCCTATTTCCACATAAGGTCATATTCAGAGGTACCAAGCATTAGGACTTCAACATATCTTTTTTGGGAGATACAAATTAACTCATAATCAAAAGTTTTGGCTTAGATGACTGGATGGATATTGATGCTATTAAAAATACACGGGGTTGGGGGAGGGAAGAAAACTTGGGGGGTAAGATAGAGACAGAGTTTAATTTGGGGACATCTTAATTGTGAGCTATGTGCAGGGTAGCTAAGTGATGGTGAGCAGTAGGTATTTGGAGGTTTTAAGAAGATAAGTCAGAGTTGTAGACAGGTTGGAATTTTGTATGTTAATTTTGAGGTCAGGTTCCCTGGGAAAGCAACTCTGAGTAGTGTTCTCAGGTTCAGCACCTAACACCTGTAAGAAGTGAGGGAAGCGAGATGATTGCACAGAGGGAGAAGCTGAAATGCTCTGCAGTTGCAGCAGAGGCCTCAGCAGACCCTGTAGGCACCTCTGGCACTGGAATGACCCTTTGGAGTAGTCCCAAGTTGAAGCAAGGGGTCAGGACTTTGTGTGCTCCGCACCAGTCCGTCACTGGATACAGGCTCTCCCTCCACTCTTCCAGGCCAGGGGAGGGGATGTAACCTTGAGTAAGGCAGCTTCCTTCTGTATTTCAATTCCCAGAGAGGGACTCAGCTGTGAGCCTTCAGCTGCCAACACTCCTAGCAGGTGGAAGAATGAGTGGCTTGTCTGAAAGGGGGACTGGGGCAGTGCACCACAGCATCCACTGCAGTACAGGGACCATAGAAAGGAAGAGGACAAGTGATCAACTCAGCACTTGAGAAGTGGACACAAGAAAGCACCAAAGAGACCAAGGAGAAAATGTATACGTTAGCCACTTTCATATAAGCTATATAACTTTCCTCCTTAAAACAACCCAGGAAAGTGGATAATATGAATCTATATTTACTAAGATGCTAAAAGATTAAGAAATGATGCTGGTTAGTCACTGATGTTTCTAGGGTTCTTTAAAAATTTGAGCTCCAAGCTTTAACCACCATAATACATATCATAGAAAGGCAAGAGAGTGGATAGGAATATAATTATTTTCTGTTATATCTCTGTAATGTTGCAATTCAGGATCAGGTTTTCTGTTCTAATGGTATTGTGCATTTGCTGATTCGTGTTCAGTGTCTAATCCTCCTTAATGTTAATTTATTAGCTTATATTTTACTTTGATAATATAACAGAGCAGAGCAAAGTACAGTCCATAAGAGAATAATAAACCAGTCCATTGAGGATGTGTTAAGTAAGGGATTATATCAGGTCAAAGGTACATGAAAGAAGGTGGCACCTAAGCTAGACCCTAAAGGATGGAGATCATTTCATTGTGTGAATGTGGTGGAGAAGGAAATCCCAGGCAGAGGAACAAACATTCATGTTGTTCATCTGATTCACTCATTCATTTTATCCATCCACCTATTCATCTATTCAGTATTCCATTTTTGAAAGCCATCATCTTTGGAGAAACTTAAATGTGCTTACTTGTTATTAAATTCATTCCTTTTATTGATTTTATAAAAAGTTGTTTAAATATTTGTAGTCATCGAAGTTAAATATTTATTTTTAATATATGGTGGTTTTAATTACATTGTTATTAGGTCTGTCTCTCCTTAGATTTTTTATAAAGTTTTTTCCAAAAAGAGGCAGTTGCAGGCAGTTTAGATTTCTTCTCTTTACTGCGTTTTAGAAAATATAATAATCTTCTCCAGAAATGCATTTGATTTGGCAAGATTTAGGGATTAGTTTCAATTACACCTTTGGGGGAAGCTGACATTTGATCCTATCTTTTATGCATAGATTCTTGCAAAAACAAAACAAAGCACCCCTACAGAATTTTACTTAGATAATTTCATTTTTGCAGATTGGTTCCAAACTATTTGAAATTATTTTCATCTTTATTGGATTTGTTCTTGTGTCTAAAAACAGTGAAATTTTGGTCTGACATTTAAATTAATGTTTCTTAATTTTTATATTTTGATAAATTTGAAAACATTCCTTTCCTGTAATGCTGTTTGAAATGTCAAAATTAAAAGTAAATCAAGAAATGCTAATTTTAGAATATACTTCAAAAACCACATACTCTCAACTCTCACCTCATTCCAATATTGAGGATCACTTATTTTAAAATGTTTGTTATGAAGAGCAAGCAGAATGCAAAAGATTGCCGTCGCACATTATATCAATAGTGTTTAAATTCATCTCCTAAATAACAGAACTATATTACTGTTTAGTTCATTATTTCTAAATCTGTATTGAATGATATTTAATCTTATTACTGTGTTTCAAATATATTGCTTTGCGTTGAGCATATAGCATGCATTGTCAAATATAACTAATTTCTACTTACAGGTATATGTCTTTAAACATTTCAAATCTGTTGATTAAACTGTTCCATCATGCTGCATTTACAGACTTCAGTACCTGACCTTCTTACTTCTCACAGGGGTAAAAACAAACTGGATCCATCAAGGATGCAGCTCTGTGCTTTTAACCAGGCACAGACATATGTGACCACTTTTACACAGGTTACCTAAAAAAAAATCATACATATGTATATGATATTTTTTTTCAGTGTCATGCATGCTGTTCAGCTACAAAATCTCTCTGCCTGACCCATTGCAAGAAAGTTAAAACATATACAATTTTTCCATAGATAAATTGACATCACAGCATGTCACTGGGGCAATTCCATCGTTTTTTGTTACTCTATTGCTTAATTCCTTGATACATCTCTCATGTCCTTAGGTGATTTCAAGTGCATGATCTATAAATTTTATTGGCTGGATTATAAAAGTTAGTATGTAACAGAAGCCACTGAAGCAGCATTTAATTAAAACACCTCTATCAACTTCCCCTCCTAATTTAAGCTATACAGTTGACCCTTGAACAACAGGGGTTTGAACTGCGTGGTTCCACTAATACTGGGATTTTTTCAGTAGTAAAGAATACAGTACTACACGATCTGTGGTTGGTTGAATCCACGGATGTGGAACAGAGGGTGCTGAGGAACGGTGGATGCGGAGGGCTGACTACGAGTTATAATCAGATTTTAGACCTCACAGAGGGTCGTGCCCTGACCCCCATGATGTTCAAGGGTTACCTGTATATATATAGATGTATGTCATACTAAATTGTCAGGTTTATTGCAATGAGAGTAGAGTTTTAATATTCTCACCATAATAACAACAAGGAAATGGTAATTATGTGAGGTGAAGGACGTATTAACTAACCTTATTGTGGTAAACATTTCACAATATATACATGTATCTAATTATCACATTGTTTACCTTAAACTTACACAATGCTGTATGTCAATTACATCTCAGTAAAGCCGGGGGGAAAAAATAAAAATTGTCACATTCAAATTCAGTAAATTAAAACTCAAGAAATAATTTTTGTGGGAGAAATATTTCAGGCATAAACATAAAATTCTTGTAACAGGAAAGGACCTTTCTAGTGTTAGTCGTGTATTCACAGGTAAGGAAATTGAGACTCATACAGTTTCTGAGTACACATGTAGAAAGTTGGAGACAGAGCCAAAGTACCCAGCTTCTAGGCCAGACTTTGAGTATGTTTTGAAACTATTTTAAGCACAATGATAACTAGGACTTTATTTCTTTAATTAATTCAGTAATATTTGATTTTTATTTGGCAGTATATAAAATGAATCAATTAATAATTTACTGGGCTCTGCCTATGAAGGAATGAGTTGTAAATGCCTGAAATGATTAATTTGATTCCAGAGCAGATTTACACACTGATGAGACTAAGTTTCTGATTATGTACGTTTGGCCCTCTGTATCCATGTGTCCTGCATGAGCAGTTTCAACTAATCGGGATTGAAAATATTTGGGGAAAAAATTCCAGAAAGTTCCAAACACCACAACATGAATTTGCTATACACCAGCAACTATTTACATGCATATACATTCTATTTACAACTATTTACATAGCATTCACATCGTATTAGGTATTATGAGTAATCTAGAGATGATTTAAAGTATAAGGGAGAATGGAAGGATGTGCATATGTTATATGCAAATACTACACCTTTTTATATAAGGGACTTGAGCATTTGCAGATTTTGCTATCTACTGGGGCCCTGCAGCCAACCTCCCAGGATACCGAGGGATGACTGAATATATTTCATGAGGAGATAGATATACATGTAACCTCAAGAAAGATAAGAGGTTTAAATGGAACATATTATGAAGTGAACACTAAACCTGTCAATAAGACATGAAACACTTTCCCTAAAATTAAAAGATTAATATGAATTGCTGTATCTGGCTAACACATATAAAAGAAATATACTACTCTGATATAATATCTTGTTTTAATTTTAGTATAATCTGTTGAATGAATGAACTCTAAAATTCCTTGGAAGGAAAAAAATCCACATTAATAAGAATCTTGCCATTTTTATATTTAATGCAGGTCATATTTTCAATTTCTCTGTCATTGTTAGGATGTTTGTATTATTGTTTTCCGTTTGCAATGATGAAAGCAAAACTCTATCCTAAAATTGATACACTCTAGGAATAGTAATGATAGGAGTTTCAAATTTAAAAAGAAACATATAATTGTTCTAGTTTACTTGCAGTTAATTTTAAAGGTGCTCCTAGGTAAAAGACAAATTTTTCTATTTCAAATTGATGGTGATTTACAGGCAATATTTTAGAGAACCATTTTATTCCAAAATGCATTAAATTTCCTTCCCCTAGAACCTAAGATGTACACATATACAATAGTATCTATATATGTACAGCTAAAACACAATTTTTGAGAAAACTGTTTCTAGAAATATATATGTGTGTGTATGTGTGTGTGTGCTTAATTCCTAAATTATTATTACTTTTTTCTTTTTTTTTTTACCAAACTACTGTTAGAAAACTTGAGGTACATATTAAGGAGTGGTTGTTCTCCAGATAAACAAAAATTCAGTTGCAAAAAATTGACTTGAAATACAATACTTTTCTTTGTCAGAAGCTACCTACATAAAGGTTAGGAAAAATATATTTTATCTGTGCCAAATTTTATTTTACATTGTGTTTGCAGTATTAGAAGCCCTGGTATTTAAAAACTATTGGAACGTTCCAATTGGAATTTTTCCAATTGGAATTTCTTTCCTTGTCCTTCCTCATTATGGGTAGTTTTAGGGAATACCATTAATCACTCAGATGTACAGGTAGTTTGTTTTTTGTCATTTCCTTTTTTATTATAAATAATATTTAGTGACCTTGAGTCATAGAGTATATGCTTTTACCTCACATTTTCCTGTCATGTTTGCTTGGAGTTTCCTAGCAGGCCTCAAAAATAGAACTGTTTAAGTGTTCGTTCCTAAAGTTTTTAAGGTATTCTTTCTGATTTGGCCCACTGTATTCCAGCTATTTAAATAAGCTATCCTCTGCAAATAGCAGTTCTGTGTTAGTGCACAAAGCCTTTGACTACCAGTGGTTGCTTTACCTTTCAAGACCTTACTGGTGAATGCCATTTGCCTTTCCATTAGAAAGAAGTTGATGATACTGTAGGATCTGGCTGAGAAATCTGTAGGTCGGATCTTATATGACCCAACTTTGCTGCATTTGTTTGTTTGTTTTCATACACAAGATCTTGATCTTGATCTTTCAGCCCCGTAAATTGTCCTGTTATTGAATAGAAAGTACCCTAGCTAGAAGATTCTGGGAAAACTAGGAACTTTCAGTAAACTATTTGCTTTATTTTGAATTTTGCTGGTGGTGACTGCGATTTGACCTCATTATTTCTCCATCAACTAATACTATAAACCATCTGACCCTGTGATGGAATTGTTAAGTAGATTTCCTGCTGAATGAACAACTGTTCCCAAAAAGCCTACACAGCTTCTCTAGTAGCGATAAACAAAACGCTAGGAAAGGAAAAACTCCATTTTCTTGCCCTTTATATGAAAAAGTGCTGGAGTTTTAGTTGCCCATAATGTGAGAAAAGAATTTACTGTAACTAGTAAATAAACTATTTTCTGCTAATTTAAATGGAAGTGAAATGAAAATCTAGATCACAGAGAGGAAAAAATATTTAATTTTCCATTGATGAAGTGTATCTGGAGTACTTTTTAACTTTGGTCATTGCCTTTTCTTTTTTTTAACATCTTTATTGGAGTATAATTGCTTTACAATGTTGTTAGTTGCTGCTGTATAACAAAGTGAATCAGCTGTATGTATACATGTATCCCCATATCCCCTCCCTCTTGCGTCTCCCTCCCACCTTCCCTATCCCACCCCTCTAGGTGGTCACAAAGCACCGAGCTGATCTCCCTGTGCTATGCGGCTGCTTCCCACTAGCTATCTATTTTACATTTGGTAGTATATATAGGTCCATGCCACTCTTTCACTTTGTCCCAGATTACCCTTACCCCTCCCCGTGTCCTCAAGTCCGTTCTCTATGTCTGCGTCTTTATTCCTGTCCTGCCCCTAGGTTCTTCTTAACCACTTTTTTTTTTTAGATTCCATATATATGTGTTAGCATATGGTATTTGCCTTTTAAAAATAATTTTGAGAGAAAGCAGAATTCCAGAGAGACTGGAAAAGGATTTGAGGGACTTTGAGGGGCCCAGAAGCTAAATCATGTAAAGAAACTAAATATCATTACTCTTTAAAAAAAAAAAAAAAAAACCCGCAAATGGTAATACCATAGGTAATCTTTAGTTTTAAAAGGCTGAAAGGGATAGTGTTTGCATTTCTTCAGAAGGCAAAAAAAGAGCCTAACAATTGCAAGGGAGAGGAAAGCATATTTTGGCTTTAAAATGCAAGTTATCCCATAATAGAATGGTAAACTTGGAAAAACAAGCATAGTAGCTATCTGTGGAATTCTTCTGTAAATGTTCTTTGATCCTTTATTCTAAACTTTACCATTTCACTCCTCATTATAGATTCAGAGCCCTCATTATAGATATCAATTGTAAAATTAGGCTATAAAATTAAAAGATGGGTGATATTGATTTGAATCTAATAGAAGTCTTTCTTGTTTATTGACATACAGTGGAGCTTAGTGTATCACTAATGTCTCCCATAATTTTTCTGCCCTTATATGCCCATCCTTTCCTTTTGATTTGCTTCTTTCAGTCTTGCTGTCCTTTGGGTTTTTTTGTTTGGACGTTCAGGTGAAATAACTATTCTAGACTCTGCTACTCAAAGAATACCTTTCTTGTGTTGTGTGAAGCGAACAGCCTTATAGCATGTACTTTAAACATGACATCTTTGGGATGTTTTCAACACCAACCATCCTCTTTGAATAAGGCTTTTGTTGAGTTCTGTGTTTTCTACAGTGCTGCTATATGTTGATAGTGTTTTTGATTTTGAGTGCCAGATTGTCAAGTTATTAGACAATCCTACTTCATACCTCTTGAAATAAATGACCAACTAGCATTAACCACCATCCTATACTAGCATCAAATAGGCTTACAATGAGATCGCCTATTTCAGGAAATGACAGTAACAAATTTGTAAGTGACCAGCCTAGGGCAGCTTTTCATATGACACCTATATTTAACAGAGTTTCTAACTATATGCAGTGTTGTAGAAAACACACCTTCAAGACAAAAGGAGATCCATGAAGAATAATTAAGCTTTAATTTGATCATATTTTCAATAGTGAAATAGCTACATAAGTTTATAATCAAGAGTAGGATGTTTTAAAACTACTTCAGTGTTTTATGGATGCTCATTGAAGAATATAGAAACACATGTCAAAAAGTACATATATATAGTATAGTAATTACCTAAAGGAAATAGAATCAGGGCGAGAGTGGAGGGGACTTTTATTTTTCATCACATGCTATTGTACATTTGAAATTTTTGAATCAAGTGTATAGGTTTTATTTAAAGGAAAGAAAGAAAAAAATTAGAAAGTACCTACAGTCAATACCATATTATTTAATAAAAAGTCAGGAATGCTAACAATAGCATATTTCCTATTCTATACTATACTAGTGAGTCTACCTTTATGGTCCTATTTTTACACTTATTTCTATTTATATGTAGACCACCACAGATTAAGAATTATCTTTGTTGACAAGCAAAGAAGTAATAGACAAAAAGTATATTTCACATTTTACTAAAAATAAATCGACGTGAAATTTTAAAATGACCTATTTATAAAACCAGAGGGGAACTTTTTCATACTGAAGTATTTATTTCACTGCTCTTAGTATAGTATAACTATTCTTCCATTTCCAAAATCACAAGAAAACTAAATAGTAAATGATTGAGTATACAGAAATGAAAATAATCATATAATTAATTATGTAAAATGATACAAATGATTGACTTGATCTTCACTGTATACTAAATAAGAATAAAAGAAGATTCAATAGTTAAATCTAGCAGTGCCTACTATGAGATTTAAAAGAATTTACCTTCAAGAGAAAACCTTTGTAATAGATGTTAGCCTTTCTATTTAAAAATGTCCTTTTTGGACCCTGTTAAAGAAACTTCTGCTTTAGTACGTATGAAGTTTAAAAGCTGAATAGATTAAAACTAAACTGTCTATATTGCTAGGACATGCCCATAAATATTTAACATTATATACAGTACTGAAATAGCTACTTGTGAATACTTAATGCCTTCCCAGGAAAACATTGAATTCCTAAAAACATTCTAAACATTGAATTTGGCTTGTGATACAAATTATAGTTCATATTAAATATTTTGATAATTTCTGTTCCAATGAGGAATCATTTTGAATAACTGTCATTTATGATGTAAGATCCGAGCCAAACTCCGAATTTAATTGACAAAATATTGCCATAAAAGTTATGGGTGGGAAAGGCTTCAATGGCAAGAATACACGTCATAAAATCATCTTAATTTTTACTTATAAATTAACTTGGTATAAGTCTGCTTTGTTAATGCTCTTTTAAAGAGTGAGAAAACCAAATGTTGAGGTTGAAGATGCTTTCATTAATTTAACATACATCAGTGTTCTGCAGATTTGAAACATTTTATTTAAAAGTTGTTACAAGGTGAGAGAAAAATCATTATAACTATATCCTAGTTGTCAGCATTTTGGCTAATAGCAGGGAGGCGCTTTGTATTCTATCAGCTATTTCACCCACTGCTTTTCCTCAAGGTCCAAGCCAATAACTTCTTTTCAGCATGGAAATGTTTGGTCTCATCTCCACAGAATCATAGTGCCTTGTCCTTCATTTCCCTAGTGACAGTTCACTTGCAACTGAAAGGTCAGGAATTGAAGACATCAAATAATTGTAGTCTTTTAGATATGGTACTTAAAATGGGTTTTTGTGGTAATTGGCACAATAGGACATATTAATAATTATAAGTTTCCCCATTGTTTCCTGGAGTAATATATATTTTGAAACCTTAGGTCTTACAGGATATTGTCTTACAATTAATTTTTATTTGTTTTTTTTAAGTAATTTTAGATTAATTCAGTTTAACCTGCTTCTTAAGTGAAATTTCATATTGATACTGTTAATAAGGTAATATTCTAAAACTCTTCGACTATGTGGGAATAATACTTCTATGCCAATGTAGATTAGAAGTAGTAATTTAATAGAGTGTTCATAATTCTTTACCTCAGTTATACAAACCACTTTGCTTACATCATTCCTTATGTTCAATTCTTATCAATGCCTTTTTTACTGATACTGAATACTGTGTGATAATAATAGTACTGAGAATTTAATGTGGTACCCATAAAGTATACTTTTAGCTTCCAAAGTCATTCTCTAAAAGTTAATATTTTAGTTTGGGCCTATGATCTTAATGCAAATCAATAGATTGAAGAATCAATTTAAATGAAATAAGTATTTCCTCATTTTTAGCACTTACATTTGTTTGAATTATTCTTAAAAAAACAAGTAAAGCTGTAATCTTATTAAGAGAAGTACATGCTATAATAACTAGTAGTTTTCAATATTCACATGTCGTTTAGCAAATGAGAATGAAAATTGAACTCTTCCATTGATGTGCTGCTCTACCCCTTATAAAATAATATTAGGAAAATTTGACACAGTTTTGCTACAATTGCTGTATGTATTTTATCTAAAACTTTCTGTGTATGTGTATGTGTGTAAACATCATGTTTGATCACAAAGTTCTGGGTGGGGAAAATTTGTGTTATGATCAGTTTTATGATCATAATGACAATGAGTTCATTCCTCTCATGTGTTGGTCTGCCATGTTCAATTTCATGGAGTCTTTGTTTCAGAGTTTGCATGTGGTGCTCACTTTAGTAGCCACTATCTCTTGACATTATAAATAATATTTATGATCTCGTCTACTGTATCCTGAAATTCTATCACTGAAATAGGTGGTATTGGATAAGATAATTACTATGGGCTTTGACATTTTGATTCCAATACAGTATTTGACTTTTTTTGTTTTGATGAAAGGCCTTCTATCTATATCATCCTGATACATATTCTCAAATCCAAGCGTTAATAGAAAAAAATATGTTTGGATTTCATTTTACACTGGTTTTATTCTTTTTAAAAATTTTAAGTACCAACAAGCTTTTTCTGCCAGTTGTCAGATCTGACCTTTCAATTATCAGGTGTTGGCAATTTGGCACTCGTATATTATTTCTATCAGGGTCTTGGTTGTTCTAAAATAGTAATTATTGGTGTATACAAATTTATATTAAACATAAAACAAAATAAAAATGTGGCCAATACTTTGCAGATGTTATAGTTTACATAAAAATATTACCTTAAGACTAATTCTGTCCATAACTTGTTAGCATACGAAAAATAAGGAAATGTATTTTTCACAGGATGTGTAGATAGAAAGATCAAGCACAGATGACCTCAATGTATGTTTATATGTTTATATGTTTTTATGGCCATCATACTGTTAATCTCTTTTCATAACACTTTGCATGACTCTGATTATCAAATATGGTTTTAATGCAAGATTTGAATGAACCCTAAATGAACTCTCTGGTGGGGTGGTGAATTTCTTTTTAGAGGCTGAACGGATCGAGTTCCTCTGAGTGCAGCACAGTTGATAACCCTGTGCCAGGAGAAGGAGAGGAAGCAGAGGCTGAGCCTGTAAATTCAGATGAGCCAGAGGCCTGTTTTACAGATGGTAAGAGAAAAATTGAGACCTCAGTTAGCAGCCATTTATTAGTGTTTTGGCTTTGGTCTTAAAACCTAATACTTACTGGGGGTTGATGAGTAAAAAGTCAGAAGACTCTATTCCATGCTGATTCAGTCATGGCTCTGTGACTAAGGGCAAGTTGCTGGAGTTTCTAAGCTTCAGTTTCCACATTTACGATATGCTACTAACAGTCATTTATGACGGTGACGCTGTTATACTATATAGCACTCTACTTACTGAAAGATGTTCATATTCTCCTTTAGGTCCTTAATTCATGTTCTCAGCTCCATGGAACCAGTAAACAAATTAATGGGGTAGATGGTACTGTTGTCCTTTTCATCAAAAGCTGGAGCTACTCTGTCAGGAAACCATTTGAGACAGTTGACCATAGTCTGTCTCAAAATTCTTCCTTCCCTTGGTTTCAGAGGCCACACTCTATTTTTGTTCTTCTTTTACATCACTGAGAATTCTGAGTTTCTTCCCCTGTTTCTTTTTTTTTTTTTTTTTTTTTTGCACGGGCCTCTCACTGTTGTGGCCTCTCCCGTTGCGGAGCACAGGCTCCGGATGCGCAAACTCAGCAGCCATGGCTCACGGGCCCAGCCGCTCCGCGGCATGTGGGATCCTCCCAGACTGGGGCACGAACCCGTGTCCCCTGCATCGGCAGGCGGACTCTCAACCACTGCGCCAACAGGGAAGCCCCCCCTGTTTCTTTTAGTGACTATTTTTTATGCACAAACCTTAAATAATGATGTTTCCCCACATTTTGATGCTTGGTTATCTACTTTTCTTATTCTCTAGCCCTAAGCGGTTTCATCCATGTCTGTGGTGTAAGCACCCATTTCTGTGTTGTTGCTCTTAAATCTTTATCTTTACCCCTGACTTCATTCAAGTTCCAGATCTGCCTACAGCTCCCCATTGCTCATCTCCATCTGTTGTCTTTAAACAACAGTTGAATAAGTTCAAAGCAAACTTCAGTGGGGTTTCCACATGTAATCTACAGCTTCTTCCAGTCTCTATCACATTTAGTGACGTCATGATCTATCTTGCCTCTCAAGCTAGACTTTAAGTCAGTCCTAACCTCTCCCTTTCTAGCCACAGGTTGATCACAAAACACACAAGTTGATCAGAAACTCTGGAGATAGGGTCCGAGTCCTTCAGGGGATTCTGATGCACACTAAAATTTGAGAACCATTGGTAGGATAAAACCTGAAGTCCTTAACTTGGCATGTAAGGCCCTTTACATTTGGCCTCAGTGTCTTATTTTATAACAGTGCCTCTTTTCATTCCTTTTCACTTTCTATCTTACTGAACTTCTTACTACTCCTGGAATTTTTCAGGGATTTTATTCAAAGCACTAACTTTCAACTTGACTTGGGAAAGTATGCAGTTTTCTAAGCAAGTATTGTGTCATCTAAGCAAAAATGCAAACCTAGAGTAGGGTTGCAATGTAATACGATAATTTATTGTACAAGCTTTGGAGCATGATAAATATGAGTTCTAATTGGCCTACTGCTAACTCTCTATGAGACCTTGAGCACATTTCAGTCTAGTACCTCAGACGCCTTATCTGTAAAATGGGTACATTTTACATCCATATCATAGGGATGTTGAGGAGATTAAATGAGATAGCATTAATAAATTAATTAGCACAGTACTGTCTTTCATCTCCTTCTAGTTTCCTTATTGTTTTTAAAGTATTTTGTTAACAGTCTTATCTAGAAGCAATGGTAGCCTTGATGCTAATGGCTCGCGATCTACTCATGGGCTTAAACTCTCAGCATTTGTGGTTTTTTTGTAGAAATCACTGACTCGCTTTCATTCTTCAAGATTTTCTCAACCAGTCTCCTATAACACTCATGCAGTAAACAAAATGACCGGCAAATAAAGATATCTGCAAACTACAATGGATGCATGAATTCTCTTAAATAAAAGCCAAATGTCATTTTTTGTGTGTGTGAGAAGCAAAAAAGTGTGACACCCAATTAATAGAAATTTGTGTTAGCTCAAATTAGTACCATAAGCAAAACACATGGAGTTTTCTTTAGAAGTGTTCATGTTAAAGGCATTTAAGATCATCATGTATTTCAGCATCACGATAAAATTAAATTGACTAGTACCATGTAAACTTAAATTTGTACGGATGCTACCAAGATTTCTTCCACACATTTTATGAATGACCCTGACTTAAAATTCTAGGATAACCAGAAAGAAGTTGGGCTTATCAAACAAATTATGGCTCTATATCAGAAAAGGGCTTTAGAAAACCTTAAACCCTCTGCAGAAAGTATTAATGCTAAGCTATTTCAGACTGTAGGTGCTATCTTACTGGGATCAAACTTTACAAAAGCTATTTTAATCCTATAAAACACCAATGAGAATACTTATATAATGACTTTGAGATTATTCATTCTTTTTTTTTCATAACTTCTAATTTGAGTCTAGTATATGAGATATTATAGAAACACATTTTCAGTGAATTGTGGTCTTGACCACTGAAAATTTACTGAGAACCAAAGTTTCAGTTGTACAAGATGAATGCATTCTGGAAATCTAATGGACAACAATATGAGTATAGTTAACAATACCGTGTTGTGTACTTGAGATTTGCTGAAGGTAGATCTTCAGTGTTCTCAACGCACCCAAAAAGAAGAAATTGGTAACTACGTGAGGTGTTGGCAATTTAATTAACTTGATCGTGGTGATTATTTCACAGTATAAACCTATATCAAATCATCAAGTTGTACACCTTAAATATATACAATTTCTAATTGTCAATTATACCTCAGTAAAGCTGGAAGAAATGGGCAAAATAGGAGAAGAATAGGCAAAATCAATCTACAAAGATAGAAGCCAGACTAGTGGTTACCTTTAGCGGGTACAGAGTGGGAAAGGGCATGAGGGTGATTTCTGGGTGCTTGGAAATGTTATATCATGACCTGCATGGCTGTTACATGAGAATATCAATCTGTATACTTAAAATATGTGTACTATATGTATGTTCTCAATAAAAATGTAAATAAACAGATGAATATATTTTTTTAAATGACAAGAAAATCTACTAGCAAACACACATCTCTGAGTCATATCACTTTGAGCAGCTGTGCTCCACTCGAGACTTTATACTCACCGGACCTGCTGGGCTAAGAGGCTCAGCCTGATAAATTAAACAGGGCAACCAATTTTCTGAGCCCTTCAACCCTTTATCCACTTAATCATTCTTTTATCCAATCAACAAATAATCGTTAAATACCTTCTGTCTGCCAGGCTCAGACCTGAGCACTAGACAGAGAGAGAGCAGGGAAAACAAAACAATGTTTCTTACCCAAATAATTAGATAAATATTTAGTAGGTCTGATAAGTGATACATGCTATGGAGAAGTAAAGTGAAAATGGGAATACTAAGACTGAGGGGTAGAAGCCTACTCTCATACAAATAGAGTGGTCAGAGAAGGCCTTTCTAAAAAGATAACATTGGACCATGCAAATATATGAAGGAAGAGTATTTTAAGCAGAGTAATGAAGGCACATGCCCTGAAGTGGCGATATGCACATTTGAAAACAAAATCAAGAGGCCGGTATGAGTAGAACAAATTGAGAGGTGGAAAGGGTGGTAGAAGTTGAGGTTAGAGACACAGCGGAGGCCAGATCTCAAGAGCACTGAAAAACATAAGAATCTCATTTAGAAGTCTCACGAAATGCCATCTTAAGAGCAGATAGGTGGATAGCAAGGGCAGAAGCTGGGAAACCTCTTGGATGTCCCTGCGGTAATCCAGGTGAGAGATGATGGGAGCATAGACTACTGTGGGAGTATTGGGGATGGTGAGAGTATGAGATTCTGAGTATATTTTCAAGTTAAAGCTGAAGGGATTTGCTGGTGGATTCGATGTTGGGTGTTAAAGCTTTCTTCTCTTCAGAAGAGTCAAAGATGACACCAAGCTCGGGGCCTCAAGAAACTGGAAATAGATGGTTTCCACATGAAGAGTTCAAAATGAGTGGGCTTGACAGGATGGAAAATTGGGAACTTGTTTACTCATAGTGGAAATGACCCTTACCAAGTCATGATTGGTTGACAAGTGTTGCGCTAGAACCAGTGCCAATTTACAGCAGCATTTGGCCTCTAGAGGTTTTTGTTACCTGAAAGGCAGCAGAAAAATCAAAGGAAGTGGGAGAGTTAAATCAGAATAGTTGTGTTTCAGTGAAGACGAACGCTAAAATGATTTTGTTGTTCATAGCCTCACATCCACTGATCCTTTTTAACTTCGTAACTATCACTTTATTCATTTGCATCTTGTTCCTCTTCACCTTTTTCTCCTCCCTCTTATTCTGTGGTTTTCCTTAGTTCTGTTTCATTAGCTTTGTCATTCAAGACTTCAGGTACCTTCCCCAGATCTGGTACTGCTCTTCACTATCCTTAATTCTACATGTCTTTGCAATCTATATAATTATGAACATGACATGACTCTGATTCTGCTTGGTTTTATATTATACTCCTTTTGGATTATACAATTAGTAACTCACAAAATCAAGATTAGGGTGTGAGAAGGATACACTCTTTTCCTTAAAATAATGTATTTTCTATTAATTTAGTAGGAGGAGCTAACTCAACTTTCCCCCAAAATGTTCTGAATTCCACTTCCTATAAAATAACTAATAACTAATTCTAAGTTTAGTGACACAATAACCAATAACCTTTGTGCCTATTTTTGTCTTTTTTTGGAAAAAAAATGTGGACAAAAAATTTGTTTTAAAGGATTTAGAAGTTTTTAAGAAGTGTTTAAAAAAAGACATGTTTTCCTAATAAATTTTTATATTATACTGATCATGCTGTTATATTTTTATTAATGGCTAAACTTAGAAGAGGCCTGTGGTTTCTTTTTTATTTGAAAGCATTAGTTTAACATGATGAAACACAATAGAGATTTTATTTAATGGATCACAAGAGCAAATTAATGAAACCACCCAAAAGAAATAGCATTTACCCATGGGGACCTATTAAAATGTTTGAGACATTCTGTGCTGTATTTACATTTAATTAATAGTCCTTTTAAAAAAGAAGGTGTGATATAGCGTTGCTAACCAGCTAGGTTGGAAATCTCTTGGGATATGCCTTTGCATAAAAGCTAGACAGGCAGTGGTCCTATTCTCCTGCTCAAAATAAGAGAGAAACTCTCTGAGGTGTGATAAATCCTGAGGACAATGCTTATGAACCTTCCTCTCAGATAAAAAGTTTACTTACTTTTCTAATTAGAATATATAGTGCCTTTTCCTGCCTCAATCATAAGAATAATATTTCTCTTCCACCTTAAGACCTACAAAAAGAAATCCCAAATAGTAAAATCTTCTTAACCAAAGAGATAACTTTCTCCTCCAGTAATTATACTTGATGCAGATAGATTCTGTTCTGCACAAGATCTTTGTTTTTAAAATAAATTCTAAAGTCTCAAGCATTAAGTTAATAAAAAAAAATTCCATCTTAAATTTTTCCACTCTATCTGGTGTTTTCTTTTGCCCCGAAAAAGATGATCTGGTATCAATTTTTGGCCTTACCTTTTACTATTTTTTCATATCATTTTATAAAATATTCTTTCTTTACTAAATGCATTTGAGATATAAAGTAATTGTTTTAGATACAATGAAGATAAATTCAGATCTGAGGTCATGTGAACTGTAATTAACATAGGATAAATGAAGCCATGTGTATATTTTCCTTTCACCCTTTTTTTTTTCTGTTTCATCCAAATTTTGTGTAAATTTTAGAATTCACAAAGACATGACCCTTCAGATCATGACTAATGCTTAGATTATTTTAGAACTCTTTTTGGGGGGGTTATGTCTTTTAAGTCAACTATCCCAGCATGTGAATCTATGTAGAGGATTGTAGTAAGTACTGTGAGCAGAAAGAAAGGGCATAACAGAAACAGTTCAGCCTTCTGGGAACTTAGAAGTTTCCAGAGAGAAAGGACAGGAACACATAAAATTGTTAGCAAAAATGTCAGACTTGGGAGAAAAACATAACTTGCTACATTTCTATAAAACTGGAAAGTAAAGTACTAGGAGATACCTCATATTAAGGATCAATGAATTAATTTCGCTACAGAATCGTAAAAGAAGCCATAACAAGACATTGTCCAAAAAATGTATTTCATCAAGAGAATTCTACCTTTGTTGTTTCAGGACAGACAGCTTATGATTATATGAAGTTATTACTTGATAGGCTCAATATTTTTAATGAAATATATTGTTTCATAGACAAGTAAATTATTTTTAGAGTGCCTAACTTCCAAACTTCTAAAACAAGTCTCTAAAAAATGCTGTTCATTCTTGCTTTCCCACCTTCTACATTCCCTCCAAACGAGGTTTTTGATCTAAAATTTTTAAGAGAAGAATTCACTGTAGTTCCTCTTTTTAAATTCTTCCTTTTTTAAGTAATTTTGATGATTTATTTTTTAATCAACTTTAATTTTTTTTTAAATTTCAATCATTATCTCTCTGAGCCTCACTTGGTCATAGCTGCGTTCACCAGTCCTTCATGAAACTCTTCCCTGACTTTTCTTTTATCGCAGCCTCTTGTACATTTTCCCCACCCCAACTTTGTCACCTCCTTCAGGGTTTTCTCATCTTCCACCTTTCCCAGTGGTGGACAGATAAATGTTTAACAACCAGTTCTCCAAGAAAAAGAAAGTATGCATACATCCATCAGTTTACCATATATTTTACTGATATAAAGGATATGTGGTACACAATTTACAGGCAGTAATATAATCAACATCCTTCATTGAACATTCATATAGCTAATTGGTTCCCACAGAATGCTTTTGTTGAATTTTGCCAAAATTTTGTATTTATAAACAACAGTGGTTGCAACTGATGAGCAAGTATAGTTTTAACCTGAAGGTTGGTTGGTATTTTCATTTACATTAATCAGTAAGGTGAGAGTGAAACAAAAAGGCTGTGTGTCAGAACTTGACTCATTCATCAATGATGTGAACAAATCTTTGCTGAATCAGATAGTAGAATTCGAATAATAAAGGAATGTTTCCTCAATTTTTTGTGCTATTCACAGTGTAATGGCTACCAATATGGCATACTTTTCCAGTTTTATTAACATTTTCTCCATCACTTTCTTAATTCTACTCTAGAAAATCAACAAGCCTGGATTTATAGCATTTGATGACTTTTGTAAAGATTCCCACCATGGCTGATCTCAAACTACTGGTGTGACTTTGCTGCATGTAGAGTTGGGAAGAGATACATAGTAGCCCAACAGTATAACATATTCTACCAACCAGATAGAATGCTTAAATATATTCAAGAGCATAGATAATAGTAAAATGTAGAGTAATATATTTTTAGTATTTATTACCTTTTTAAAGTAAGTTATACTTTTAAGTTTATACAATTTAATTTTTGCTAACAGCTGCATTTAACAACAGGCTAGCAAAATTTCCTGGCAATTTAACAATAAGTTGTCAAGAACCAGTATGAGTTGGCTCCAGCATACCACTGAATTCTGTCTCTTAATATTGCTGTCCCAGAATGTTCCAGACTTGACCCTTTTCTCTCCTCATCCTAAATACTTTTTTGTGTGTGACCTCAACAACTGTCCTGATCTCAGCTGACACATATGTGCTAATGATTCCTACACATTCTTTTCCAGCCCAGACTTTTCCCCTGAGCTTCAGATTCACACCTCCAAATATCTACAGGATGTCTGTATTTAGAGGTTTCACTGGCATCTCAAACTCATTACCACCCCAAGCAGCTCCTGTTCCTGTGGTCTTCATGTCATTACTGATATCCACCCAGTTGTCTGGGCTTCTCCCTTCCTCTTACATCCCATATCCAATCAGTCAGCAAATGTGTTGATTTTACCGGCCAAATATGTCTTGACTCTGTTATTGCTCTAGTTCCTAACCAGAGCTGCCCAAATCTATCCTTCTTGTTGGGGATACTGAACCAGACCCTAAATGGTTTTCTAGCTCTGGGTCTTTCTTTGCTCCCCACCCCTCCTTCTTCTTCTCTTCCAACTTATCCTCTACAGTTGCTGGAGACATCTATTTATTTTTTTATTATTATTATAAATTTATTTTATTTTTTAATTTAATTTTATTTTTTGAAAATTATTTTTGGCTGCGTTGGGTCTTCATTGCTATGCACAGGCTTTCTCTAGTTGCAGTGAGCGGGGGCTACTCTTTGTTGCAGTGTGCATGGGCTACTCTTCGTTGCAGTGTGCATGGGCTTCTCATTGCAGTGGCTTCTCTTGTTGCAGAGAATGGGCTCTACGTGTGTGGGCTTCAGTAGTTGTGGCGTGCGGACTCAGTAGTTGTGGTTCACAGGCTCTAGAGTGCAGGCTCAGTACTTGTGGCACACAGGCTTAATTGCTCCGCGGCATGTGGGATCTTCCCGGACCAGGGCTCGAACCCGTGTCCCCTGCATTGGCAGGCGGATTCTTAACCACTGTGCCACCAGGGAAGCCCGAGACATCTATTTAAATTACAATCTTCCTGTGTAATTTTCTGCTTAACAACCCTTCACTTACTCCTCGTTAGGATTTAGGATATAGCCAAACTCCTTAAGGTGGGAGAAAATGCTTTCCATAATCTGACCAGTTTCTCTTCCTTATCTCTCATCCATGCCTTTTCTGTACACTTTGCTTTCATCAAAATTCTGAACTACTTGTAAGTCCTGTACACGGCACATTTTGCTGCCTCTTGGCCTGGAATTCCACTCCACTCTTTTTGGCTACTACTTTGATTCAGTTCAGGTCCCACCTCTTCCAGAAAACCTCCTCTGACCTCACTTTCTCAACAAATAAGCCAGGTTAGGTGAATTTCTTCCAAGCTATCAAACATAACCCCAGCATATCTGTCATTTTAGTTGCATTATCCAGTTATAGTCATTTATTTCTATATCTAGCCGCCTAACCAAAAACCAGTAATAGATATCTTGAGGAGAAGAAACTATGTACACAGCTGAGTAAAAAGGTTAATCAATAAATGTTTGATGGGGATATGAATGAATTAACCTAAACAACTTTAAATAAACTATTCTTCAGTTTTTTATAGCAGTGTGTTTTACATCTGGGATTCCAGAGTCAGATTTGTTTTTAACTTATAGTACTTGAAACAGTTTCATCTGTTTCTTGTAATCAAGATCTGTTTATTTTGAACTGAATTATAAGACCTTCTACTAATTTTTAAAGTATTACATAGAATGCTGTTTCTCAAAGGGTTTTTTATAGAGGAGTTGAAGCAGCACCAGACTGTAGACTAAATTCATATCAAGAAGGCCATGAAATACATTTTTGTCTTGAGATTTTAGTTCATTCGTTAACCAATAATTATTTACTGCTCATTGTGTATTAGGATTACATTAGGGCTGCAATCATAAAAAGAACAATATGTGGTTTAAACACTGTAGAGGAGATTGATGAGAAACTAGGGAAGAACAGAAAACACGAATACATCCCAAGTTAGAAATTACTGATACAAGTATTAAGAAAACACCAGGGAGAGTTAAGAGATGAGAAAAGGTAGCATCCAAGTTGAAACTATTTGAAGCTTTAGGTGTAAGTGTTAGAAATTATTTGGTTGAGGAACTATCATAGGGAGCGCTTTGCATTAAATAATGTATGTTAAGTATTTTATGTATTCTGAATATCCAGATTTTACATGCCTGTCTTTCTTGCCAGGTTGTGTGCAGAGGCTCCCATGCTGCCAAGTTAACACAGAATCAGGGAAAGGAAAAATCTGGTGGAACATCAGGAAGACCTGCTATAGGATAGTTGAGCACAGTTGGTTTGAAAGCTTCATTGTTCTCATGATCTTGCTTAGCAGTGGTGCGCTGGTAAGTGATCTGACATCTAAGGCTTAAATCAATTAAGTCATTTTTAATAGATGAGTTGAAGATAAAAATATCATGGCAAATGGTTTTACTTAAAAATTAATCCCTCTGATCAGTCCTAAGGACAAAATTTTAGTTAGCTCAGTAAATATTTACTCCATGCCTGGCATTATTCTTGCTGCCCTGAATGCAAAGTTGGATAAGATCCAGATACTTTTCTCAAGGAGCTCAGAGAGCATTAGGGAAGTGAGAGGCACAAGTGATACAGAATTGGGATGTGTTTGTAAGTGAAGTATATGCATGATTAAGCTCTGGAGCAGGAAGTGTTGTCTGCTTGGGATTTCAGAACGGTAGATGTTCCTCCAGAACTCGGAAAAGGGAAGCAGAAGAGTCCTGAGGGCTGCACTTCAGTTCTTGCCTTTCAGTTCCATTGTCTTTCATAACCTCTGCTAGCTGCTAGAACATTCTCTCAGCATCTTCATGGATCTGTCCATTCTCTCTGTTCCAACTTCTCTGTTTTCTTCAATATTGAGGATTACATTTCTCCAAAAGTGCTAAGGATCATTTTTAAAGTATTGATATAAGAACTTGGAATAAGAAGAATAAGAATGGCACAAGCCCATGACTATGGACAGGTAGTCCAGTGTTACCACCAAGGATACAGGTCCTTTTGCTTTCATTTTCTCCAACAAAGTGAATATTGTTTAAACTTGAAAGAGAAAAATCTAGTACTTTAGACCTGTTTAGGTCAGCAGTCATTTTCAGTGGCTTCAGTGAGATCACTTCTTTAAGTCCATTCAGATTATTTCCCACGGGCCTTGTGGCTATGACCACAGTACCATCGTCTATCACTTACTAAAATTTCTTGGAAAGTGATAAAAGATGTCACATTGATGGAATAAATATAACAGTGATTTGTAGAGCTGAAACTTTTAATGAATGATAAAGTATTGGTGCAAAATTCAAAGGAAGAAACCATCGTCTGTGTTCTATAGCCCTATTAAGCTACTGCATTCATTCATTTAGCAAACCTTTCCTGCTGTGTTCTTGACACGGTGCTAGGCACTGGGAATGTACAAGCACATAAGAGCTGAAGGAGAGGGCTTAAATCCTACTTCTGTGTCGAAGTAGAGTGCAGGGTTAGAGAGATTTATAAAAGGGGCTGACCCTGGAATCATGTCTTAAGTTACTAGGACTTACCTAATTTGAAGGAGGATAAAAGGGGAGTCAGATGAGTGGAAATCCTTGAATGTGTCAGAGATCATGATTCTTTTAGGGCACTATAAATAATTTCATTCTTTTGTACTCTCTTCCTCTTGACCTCTGGTGATCAGCCCCCTGCACTGGTGCAAAGGCTAGAACTAAGTGTTACACAGTAACTGTAAACCAGAAGAAAGACAGCTGGCCTGTAATAGTATTATATCTCAGTGTTCTCTTTATCAGAATTTCATTTCCTGTTTTTGTCATGAATCATAAGCTTTAAGTTGTACCAAATTTAAATCTGAATATTATTTTCACAGGCTTTTGAAGATATATATATTGAAAAGAAAAAGACCATTAAGATTATCCTGGAGTATGCTGACAAGATATTCACTTACATCTTTATTCTGGAAATGCTTCTAAAATGGATAGCATATGGTTATAAAACCTATTTCACCAATGCCTGGTGTTGGCTGGATTTCTTAATTGTCGATGTAGGTACTTTTGAGTAAATTTTAAAAGGGGATTTATTCTTACAAATAAGTGTTCTCAAAAACCTTCACTAATGTTAAATATTATCACATTTAGATAGGTGATATGCAAAAAAATTTTTTTTCCCAGGCAGGCATAGCTATACGTTATATCTCCTATGTTCTCTCAGACTTCCTCTATGAGATATTTAATTTTTGATACTGTATGTTAATGATTTTATGTTTGATTATTTTTTGATTCACCTTTTTTTCATATACGTTACATAGTTAGTGCCTAGAAAAATGAATGGTAAGATGAACACTTTTGTAATACAATAGTTTTAAAGAAAGGCTAACCAAAATAAGAAATAATAGAAGGAATGTAGATTATTTCTTTTCTCTTAAGCTGTAAATATGATTACACCTTTTAAAAATTATAAAATATATGATATTTAGAAACTTAAAAATATTGTCAGTGTTCTTTTCATCTCTCAGATTATAAAAAATGTTTACAAGTAGAGTTGAATTTATTTTTAGTTAAGAAAGAGATATGGCTATTTAATAATGAAATTTTTTTGTATTTGAAAATCTGAAGTAGCGCTTCTCAATATTTAGGGGTATGTAATATGCAGAATTCAGGGAAGTTATATAGCTTCAATTTGAAATATTTAACATTTTGAAAAAACTAAATAAATTATATGTGTGTGTTTGTGTGTGTGTGTGTATATATATATATATATATACACATAATGCATATAATTATATATATATAATGTTTTCATAATGCAACAGAGAGAGCAAAACTCCACTCAATTGTGTTGCTGATAGAGGTGCAGATCTAGGCATGTGGATTTTGGGGAGGAGCTGAGATTTTTTTTATTTCTCAAAAATTGAGAAATTTATCTAGCACAGTTGCTCTCACAGTGTGATCCCTGAACCAACAGCATTGGCACATGTGGGTGGGAACTTGTTATAGATACTCAGGTCCAACTCTCAGGTCCAACTCAAGTGCTACTAAATCAGAAACTCTGGTGTTGGGATGCAGAAAATTCTTGTAATAAGATCTCCAGATGATTCTGGTACATATTCAGGTTTCAGAACCTGATTTGATATTCTTTTGATTTGATATTCAGAGGATGGATTTGTTTGATTTCTGCAAGCTTCCTGATTAGTTGAAACTTATTTGATTGAGCATTATTCATCAGTAGGGGCATATATCATGCACATACACATGTGTACATAAATAGATAAATATATGCGTATACATATGTTCTCAGTTACAGACTACATATATTCAATATAATAACACTCATTTAACAATGGTTTGGAGATCAGGTTAACCATTTCCTTAGGGGTTATTCAAATTATCATAGACATTTTAAACCTTTATTTTTTTCTGATTAAAAAGGAACATTTATTATTCTGATTAAAAAATACACATTTTTTAAAGCATACTTAAGTGGGAAATAATGGACCTGAATGACTGGGTGAATTTAAGAGTGATACTGAGGATTAGTTAGTAATTCTGAATACATAGCATAAGCACCTAAAAACAAAGAGTTATGTTACATTTAGTGAGACATTTAGAAGTAACTGTATGAGAGCAAAACACTTCAACACATCCTGATTCAAAAATCAGTTCACTGTGTTTCTGATAGCAGCAGTAGTGAACTTGCAAGCAATACATTTTTCTACTTCTTCAATAGTTAAACATAAGGAACTTGACTCTCCTGTTGCTCCTAATCTTTCCTGGAAAACTTCAATCTTTCAGTCATTACTTAATTCCAATGAACTGCATTGCGGACATTGTTCTTAGGCATTGCCTCCTGCTGCACGCAGTGTGAAACAATGGATATTTTAAATGGAACTTATTCAAAGACTGAATACATTTACCGATACAGATCTTGGGTCATTGAAGAGCTCATTGGTCCTTACCAAAACATGTATTGATTTTACTTCTGTCCATGTTCTTTCTTCTGAGATAACTTACGACAAGAACACAAATTTCTGTTGGATACTGGTGATGGTGATTGTGGAGGGTCCGTCTAATATGACGAAGTTCTTGTGTGTCTATGTTGTTTGTGAAGCCAGTGAGATCACCTGCTTGTGTGCTCTCTTCAATACAATTGAGATTTTCTCCCACTAATTATTGATAGGAAGATCTTTGGTGCCAATTCTGAGAAACTGTAGGTCAGAATAATCTTCTGGGGAATTTGCCTCATCTCAAAGTCATGAGTCTTCAGAGTGCTTTTGAAAAAGGTCTATACTGGGACTTCGATTTGGTTGAGTGATTGCCACACTCTTTTAACTTAGCTTCAGAATCACACACTTTGTTATGCCCTGGGCTTTATTCCAATTGAAATTTTGATAGTTGCTTTACTTAAATGTTCAGGATTAATAAGCAAGTACAAAACCATTGACTACAGAAGTGTGAAAAGCATGTGTGATTTTTTTATTCAGATATAAGAAATAACTTACTTTCCTTCTATTATTTCATCTTATTTAGGTTAACTTTCCTTTAAATCTATTTCCTTTAAAAAGCATCTATCTTATCCAATTTTTAGACAATAAGTAGATAACTTTATGTATAAAATCATATTGTTCTTGTTGAACTGCTCTTAGTGATCTTTGAAATTGACTTTTTCTCTTCATGCTTTATTATTTCATTGAAATGATTAATGAAATTTTTCTTCTTTTTTAGGTTTCTTTGGTTACTTTGGTCGCAAACACTCTTGGCTACTCAGACCTTGGCCCCATTAAATCCCTTCGGACACTTAGAGCCTTAAGACCTCTGAGAGCTTTATCTAGATTTGAAGGAATGAGGGTAAGAAAATACTAAACTTCTAATATAATATTCATATTTCCTAATGGAGTGTAAGATATGAAAAAATGGGTATGTAGGAATTATGGACTGTTTATATTTACACACATGTGCATATATATACGTATATATGGGCTGTTTATGTATATAAGTGTGTATACATGTGCATATAGATGCAGTATTTCATTGCCTATTGTTTAACAAAGACTAAATCAAATACAGTAATGCCTCTATATTATATTGTGAGGCAGTGATTCAAATAAGTGACTTTTCCCTTCCTAAATGACAATCTTTCCTATGCTAGGAAACTCAGGTGAAGGGGACACTCTTAGTCCTGACAGTATCTCTCATATACAAGTCACGAAGGACTTGCCTTTGTCAGGTGCTCAAACAATTTTTTAAGGAACTACCCTGGGTGTGGGGCATAAGGAAAGACAGAGAAGTGAAGTAGCATCAGGCATCACTTTTAATTTCATTCTTTAAATACATGGCTCAGTGAAAGTGGAAATAGCTCCAAATTATATTTGAGAAAACTAAAGCTCTGATTTTACTTAATTTGCAGTAGGCAGCATAGTACCTGAAAAGAGATTCATTTTGCAGAAACAAACAAGGTGAGCTAAATAATGACTACCAGCAACTTAGCTTTAGGGCTGTATTAAACCAGCAACTTCTTCATAAAATCCATGCTTTATTTTCTCTAATGAGTCTATATCCTCATTTGTTGCTTCTCTCCTTGAATTTCTTCCTCTCCAGATATATTCCTGCTTTCTCATTCCTCCATTCTCTTGGCCAGGAATGTTTCTCCCTGCCCCATCTCAATCCTAACTCATCAATATAGTAAATACCTACTCATCTTTTAAGCCTCAGCTTAAATGTGCCTTGTCTGTCCACCACCAGGTATAATTGAGCATCCTTCCTATATGTTCAGACACATAACATCCTCATTATATTGCATCGTACTTATTTATTTATCTGACTGCCTCTCTAACTGTAGTCTCTGAACAATTTGCTTACTGCATCTCTTAAATGTGGTCAGCATCATCTGAAAACTTACTAGAAATGCAAATTCCCAGGTTCCACCCCAGATATACTGAGTAATAAACTCTGGAATGGGGCTCAGAAATCTGAAGCCTCAGGTGAATGAATGTTAGTTGTGTTTTAGTCTAGCAGATCTTCATTACATTATGACTGTAACCTAATTATGACTGTAACCTCTACTTGTTAGTGTATCCGGTGTATGTTGGCCCCCATGTAAATATATGAAAGATCATGATTATACAAAGATTTTTTTTCATAATTAAAAGTCAAGTACTTTTGATCATGTAAGAATTGAAATTACAAGTTTCATTTTATACAGAACGGTAGTATTGGAGTTGACATTAATTTTTCTTTTTGAGCATTAGTAGAATGTTGCGATCTATTCAGAACTTATGACTGATCCCTGGACTCAAGCAGAGCGTGTACTACATTCTCATGATCAAGTAATATACTTTCCCCATCAAGATATTAATACATCCCTCAGTGATTAAGCCACTCCATTATTTTACCCTGTTTGCTCTCTGTTGTTTATCTAATATACAGGTGAATTGGATGCAGGAGAATGTTTTAATATATTTGGAGGGGCAAGTATGTCTACTTAGTTACGTTTATTAGCCGTGCGAAACAGGGATGTTTCTTCAAATTGCAGGGTCGTTTTAAAGAATAAATGAAATATGATTGGAGGCATTTTGTAGTTAGCTTCCTTTAAAAAGGCTTGAGGTTCTTGAACTTACTGACTTTTCCAAATGGCTTCTCATCAGAACGATATGTATCCATCTCCCTCAGAGACTCATCATTACGCACATTCTTTCAGCACCAAAACTGTGTGTGAAATTTTGTACTATAAAAAGAGTACAATGGTAAATAGACCCCAGTCCCCCAAGAGTGAGCCAGGACAGCGGTCATGTAGAGACAGAGAGGGGAATAGTAGTTATTCTGTGACATCTGCTATAAAACAGTAGGCACACGGTGCTACGGGAGTAGAGATGAAAGTGGCTGCCTGGGGAGGTCTGGGAGGGGCTTCATATGGAGGTGACCTCGCAGCCATGACTGAAAGAATGGGCCCCAAGTCACAGGCAGGTGGGCATTCCAGGCAGAGATGCAACTTGGTAGAGGACAGAGTTGACTAGGCAAGGTATGTTTGAGCAGTGACTATAAGAATCAGCGTGCCTAGGTTATGAGCATAGTGGGAGGGTAGCAGGAAATGAGGATGAAAATGTAGGCTTGAATAAGAGCTGACCGTTTGGAATTCTGCTCTCTAATTCTGTTCTTCCTAACCCTTTGGGGGTCATGTACGTTGTAAGAATCTCATAAAAGTAGAAATCATTTCTCCGTAAAGAAAGCGTACCCATAATAATGTTCTTCATATGATTTCATGCCCCCATGGAACCTCTATAGGTCCATATCTACCCATGAACCCCAGGGTAATAACTGTTGTTCTTGACCTGTTGTTCTTGTTCTTGTTGTTCTTGAACCCCAGGGTAATAACTGTTGTTCTCAGGGTCAACAACCAAAGCCTACAGGCTGGATGCCTGTTTTTATAAAGGAAGTTTCATTGGATCACAGCCATGCCCATTTGTGTATATATGATCTATCGCTGCAATGGCAGAATGGAATAGCGGTAACAGAAATCATATAATCCGCAAAACCTAAAAATATTTAAGAAAATGTTTGACAACTCCTGCTCTAGACAATCTCAAAAGTAGTCAGGGATCCTGCTTGATACATTGCAAGAAAAAAGGGAGCACGTGCTCTTTACTTAACAAGTTATTCTTTAACACCTTTGCACTCAAATTCAGAGTAGAGGTCAACTGTAAGAAGATAGTAAGTTTGGAAAGATGAGGTAATTTAGAAAATCTGGAGGGTGATAAATGCTACAGTGGTCGCCATGAAGGAACACTGGGTGGCAAGAGGCACTGGTGATCAATAGTATTGGAAATGCTGAAAAGCAGAAATAAAGGGAGTATTAAAGATAAACTATTCTGTATTTTTTGTTTTTAATTGAGGCCAGCACTATCTATATTTAGCCAAGGGCTTATGTATAAAGTGTTTTTAAGAGTTAGAATAATAAATTTGAAAAGATTGCTCTCATTCTGTAGATGAGGAAACAGAGGTCCCAAGGTCTTAATTAAGTTTACATATCACACAACTAGCAGAACCAGTTAAATCTATGGCATTCAAACCGTGAAAAGATTCCCAATCTTAACTCAGCTTATATGTACTAGTAGTTTCTCTATATGGGAGAATTTTAGCACTGGTAATTCTAGGACTATGAACCATTAAATGTACATTTTACTTATTTTAATTGTTTACATTTATAAATTTCTTTCTTTTCTAGAGCATGCAGATTTTATGGCTTCACCTTACATGTATCAGGTTTTTGGTTTATTCTTTTTATTTTTTTCATTTATTTAAGCTGTCATATAATCTTAGTGATTTGTTCTGTATTGCTGCTAGTAGTTTCACTGTGTGATCCTCATGTACTTTTGTAAACTCATTGATCAAGGGGCTCCTGTCTTATTTAGTCCTGATGAGCACACAGTAGGCCTTCAATAAGTACGTGTTGGTTGGTTGATTTATGTCTTAAACATGTAAGGGTGGCTTTTCTAACGTCTTTAATTCTGTATTGTGTTTCATTAATGTTGCCCATTTAACATTCATACTAATCCTAATCATTCTTTCTTTTGAATGCTAGGTGGTCGTGAATGCACTCATAGGTGCAATCCCTTCCATCATGAATGTGCTACTTGTGTGTCTTATATTCTGGCTAATATTTAGCATCATGGGAGTAAATTTGTTCGCTGGCAAGTTCTATCAGTGTGTTAACACCACAGATGGGTCACCATTTCCTACAAGTGAAGTTGAAAATCGTTCTGAGTGTTTTGCACTTATGAATGTTAGTCAAAATGTGCGATGGAAGAACCTGAAAGTGAACTTTGATAATGTTGGACTTGGTTACCTGTCTCTGCTTCAAGTTGTAAGTGAGCCCTTTTATGAATGCTTGACATTTTGGTGCACACTGGATGGAGGAGCTGTCATTATTTATATAATTATTAACTAAAAATTAAAGATAAAGTACTTTGTGACTTTAAAAATAGAGTTGGTCTTTTTAGAACATGTGCCTATAAACATGAAAACAGAACATGGGTTCTGTTGCATTTTATCCACCTTTTTGGAGTCACCTGATCCCCTGCCATTGCGCCATCTGAATACTGCGTGCAAAAATGAATAGTCATGTTTTGGACTGCACTTTTACACTACAGGGAAATGAGAAGGACTTCCCACGGGTATGGAGAATCCTTAAGATATGGAAAAAAATTGTTTCCTTTGTTATTCATAAAATTCTCCTCCCCACTCTGGAAAAAAATAAAAGTTCATGTACAAAACTCACAGGCAGTTGTGACAACCTGGCAATAATTAACTAGGAGTCAGATTTAGGATGTGACTTTGTGATGTGTCCCTCCCCTTTTTTCCCTTGACACAGCATCTTATGTTAAATTGGTATTTTGAAATACAGTGGGCTCTCCTTATCCGTGGGTTCGCATCTGCCTAATGCAAGGGACTTGAGCATGGGCAGATTTTGGTATCTTCAGGGGGGCCCTGGAACCAATCCCCTGCAGATACCGAGGGACGACTGTATAGTAAAACTCACTAATTTAGTATTAATTAATAAATGCTATAACATTAAACACACTAAACTCACTCGTGACTATTTTAAAGTATGAGGTTCAGATTCTATAAATTTTATATTTACAGGCAACATTTAAAGGATGGATGGATATTATGTATGCAGCAGTTGATTCTGTTAACGTAAGTATTGGTAAACATAACACTAAACTCTACAATTTTGAAAAGTTCCTTAGTTTAGTTAGGCTGTTTTCAAACAGCAGCTCCAAGGAGCCCTTGGTATGTGCACACACACTGAAGAATACCCACCTGGTGGTAGCCTAGTGGTTACCTGTGCAGCATTTGGAAACAGAGCTTGGCTTAAATTCTGGCTGTCCCATATCAGACAAGCTTGCATATGACTTCGAGCAAATTACTTTATCTCTCTGAGCCTGTTTATTGATTTATGAAAAGAAAGTAATTCACCGCCTACGTCATGGGATTGTTCTGAGTGAGGATCCAACTAGAAAATGTTAAGTAGAACGCTTAGCACAGCCTGGCAATAATAAGTGCTCAGTAAATATTTGTTTATCAAGATAAAAAGGAAATAACATATTTTATTCATAGTTTTTACTGCTTTTATATTTTAAAGTTCCTTGAAAGAGTTTATGCGAAATTAGTCACACACTAAGAAAGTTTGAAGACTGCTGACTATTTCATATTGTCACAAAAGCCACAGAAGACGTTGTAATCAAATGAAAAAAAAAAAGATTTATATAAATGTGATATCATCTCTTTTATTTTTTTCTGGAAATAAAAATTATGCATTAGGTCCTTTACTTACTAAATTGTCCTACAATCTGAGAATAAGTACTACAGTGGATAAGCCCTTTGTAGCAATTTGAAGATTATATTCATAGTAAGCATGTAATAAATATTTATTTAGTGTTGAATAAATTTTTAAGAATGATTATGTTGAACCTTGTCAACACTATGGCTTCTGAAAAACCACGTTTACCTAGGATAGCAGTGTTTGAATTACCTTGTCAAACCATGTGAAAAAGAAAATGATGAATTTTATTGTCAACATACTGCTAACTTTTGTTAATTTTATAGGTAGACAGGCAGCCCATATATGAATACAGCCTCTACATGTATATTTATTTTGTCATCTTCATCATCTTTGGGTCATTCTTCACCTTGAACTTGTTCATTGGGGTCATCATAGATAACTTCAACCAACAGAAAAAGAAGATAAGTATTTCATGTTTTTGTCATTGCACTGAAAGAAATTAACAATTATTTTCCCAAAAATACAATGTGAAATTTAATTTGATGTCAGTTAGTAATTAGTTCATTAGAATTTCATTAATTTTCCAAGTAATTGGTTACTATACAATGATGGATATGCTTAATCTCATTCATCTCTGCACAGAAAATAATCATCTCCTAAGTCATAATTATTTTTAAGAAATATATCAACTATTCAGTTTTATTTTCCAATGTTCCCTATAGGGGATTGATTAAGAAAATTCAACGAACTAATTATTTACTCAAAACATGTTTCATAAGTAGTTACTGTATTCTGTTCTGAGCCACTGTTCTGTGTGGTATGTATTGGGCTGGTACTTAAAAAGAACAACAGAAGATACTTTCCTGAGCTCAAGGAGTTTATATAGCAGAAGAAATGACACAGGTAATTAAAGTTAAGATTTGCAGGTCAGACACAATGAGATTTTTGTTTCATTAATGTTCACATCAACTGTATCAGTCTTAGGGCTGCCATAGCAAAGTACCACATACTGGGTGGTTTCGAACATCAGAAGTTGATTCTTTCACAGTTCTGGAAGCTAAAAGTCCAAAATCAAAGTGTTGGTAGGACCATGCTTTCCTCAGAGTCTCTAGAGGAGGATCCTTCTTTGCATCTTCCATCTTTTGGTAGCTCAAGTATTCCTTGGCTTATGGCAGGGTAACTTCAGTCTCAGCCTCTGTGGTCACATGACGTTCTCTCTCTGTCTCTCTCCTCTCCTTATAGGGGCACCAGTCATATTGGATTAAGGGCCAACCCTACTCCAGTATGACCTTATTTTAATTACATCTTCAATGACACTATTTCCAAATAAGGTCTTTCTGAGGTACGAGGGGTTAGGACTTCAACATATCTCCTTTTTTATTTTTGGCAGGGTGAGGAGGGGGGTTGGACACAGTTTAATCCTTAACATCAACCATGAGAGGAATTATTATTATAGACTTTGTCTGATAAATGAGGAAAGGCACGAGATTTTGAGTGACTTACCCACGATTATGCACCTGGTTAAGTGTTAGGGTTTTAATAGTCAGTAGTTGATCCCATGTACCTTGTATATTACTTAGGCCCTTTCCTATGCTGTACCCCCAAATACTATAATATGACATAGTGATAAATGCAGTAAGAAAATTAACAACAAAAAATGTAAATGGGCAGTCAGAGGAAAACGAGATACAGCTATAGAAAGTTTTATGATATATGTGACAATTGAGCAGGCCTTGGAAGATGGATGAAAAGACACAAAGCAAGTGGCAGGCAGAAGGATAAGTAAGCCACATGAAGGGTCAGAGAAGTGTGTGAGCACATGCACCATGCTGGCAAAGGAGGTGCACTGCAGGAGAAATACCAGTCCATCCACTTTGGATGGAGTTTTGAGAAGAGAAATAGAAAAGATGAGGTCTTTATTTGATTGAGAGCAGATCTGAAAAGTCATGTTAGATATTTTTCAGTAGGATCTGATGTGTCATTGAGGTATTTTGAGTATGGAAGAACGTATAAGCAGGACATAGACATCTGTTAAGATGTGATGACATGTCTGATCGTGTGTAAAATACTTTACACAGTAATCTTCGTCACATTTTATAAGTCTACAGAGCACAGTATCCCCACTTCACCTTTCAGAGGGGTTGTGTGACTTGCACATGGTCTGATAGCTAAGAAGTAGCTTCATCATGCATCTAACTCCAGGGTCTCTTTTCCCAGAGATTATGAAAACTCAGCTTTAATTAAAAATTTAACCTAACAATGATGCAGGGAATGACTGGGGAGAGACCAAAGACTAGGTCAGACCCTGCTTTACCTGACACCTAGACCACACTTAATTCTCCAAATTAGTCATTTGCAGCAATAGAGAATAGGGGATTCATTCAGTTAAGAGATTTTAGGGGGTAAGGTCTACAGTGTTGTTTGTGATTTGCAGGAGAAAAAAATGTCTAAGAAGTCTCAGTTTTCTCAAAGTTAACAGAGTAACAGTGGCTGTAGCACCACCCACAGGAAAAGAGACCTTTGAAGGGTGAGTGCTGGAATACCAGGAGGAAGTGATTTCAGATACTGGCTTAGCATCTAAGAAAAGACAGGTGTACATGCAGTGAAATGTCATCAGTGGCCGTGATTGACTAGTCTCAGGTGAAAGAAGATGTAGCAAATATTAAATATTATTTATGCTTATATTTCCAAATACAGGTGTTTATTTTTCAAAGAATTTTTAAAATTCCATGTTCCATTCTTACATTTTATATCTAACAGTCAAACTTAGCTAGCATTATCATATATTCATGCCTTTAGGCAGAGGATCTTGAATAATTAATAATTAATCTTGAAAATAATTTCACAAATTATACCCTAATTTCCAATTTATTTTTCCTACTTTAGTCATTATATACGTGTATATGTGATATATAGGCACATACATATGGTTCTCCAGCATTCCCTGTATATAATAAATTATAGTGGATCTAGAAAGAGTAGTATGACATGACAGGACAGCCACAGCCCTAATTGCTTTGATCCCCTTGCTCTTGAATGTTATTCTTACAACAAGAATTGCCACTGCAGGAAGATGGGTTGGGTAGACATCATTACCAGTAATGTCAGGCGAAAGTTACTAATTTCAAAGCAGTGACAGCTACAGTTATCCCCTACCATTCTTCCAGTGTTTCGCTTGCATTCTAAGCTGCTTTTTATCTTCTGACCCTTTCTGAATGGTTTAGGGTTTCTTTACAACCTACTAAGAGAAGGAAAGAAGACAGGACCAACACGTCAATTAATAATCTACTACAGAGGAGGTCTCCTGCTAGAGGCCTCTATATGAATTCATCTAATCCATAGAACAAACAAATGAAAGTGGTATCTCTATACAAGTGTATAAACCGAGGCCTAGAGAAGATAAACAACTTGTTTCAAATCAAGTAGTAGGTCATTGGTAGTCAGGATCCAAAGTTCTGTTTGACCGCAAAGCCTATTTTTTCCACAATGCAATGTTGCCTCTTAATGCTTTTTAACTTCAACACTTTGGTCTCAGTTTAGGACCCTGCCAAATTCCCATACCTCTTTCTAATCACCAGCCCCACTTTACTAGTTTGCCAACTATCCATCATTCTTACACACACTGTTATCATCTTTAACAAATCCGTGTGATAATTGGGTTTTAATAGTTCATCAGAAAATATACTTCTGAAAATTAGAACATAAGTTATTAATGAGTTCAAGTTATAAAAGGGAAATGTATGCAATGTATTTACACAAATGACTAGTACAGACCTGGGTACATAGGAGTAAATTCTAAGTAACATCAACCCTTTTCAGTAACTATAACTGTTTGGAAGGTTAATAACAACAACGGAAGTTATAAATAATTACTGAGCGTTTGAAATACAGTATCTTAATTGACCCTCACAACAAACCAATGAGGTAGTTACTCTTGTAATAATGAGATGATATAACCTTAAAGAGATTAAAAAACTTACCCAAGGGCAACAGAGATGGGGATTGAATGAAGATGATCTTACACCAGAACTGGGGTCTTCTTAACTACTATATAATACAGCCTTGACAGATTGTAAAGACCAGCCTGACTTACAGAATGTCTGCCACCTAGCTTTTTTTTTTTAATTTTAAATTTTTATTTTTTTTTTACATCTTTATTGGAGTATAACTGCTTTACAATGGTGTGTTAGTTTCTGCTTTATAACAAAGTGAATCAGTTACACATATACATATGTTCCCATATCTCTTCCCTCTTGCGTCTCCCTCCCTCACACCCTCCCTATCCCACTCCTCTAGGTGGTCACAAAGCACCAAGCTGATCTCTCTGTGCCATGTGGCTGCTTCCCACTAGCTATCTACTTTACGTTTGGTAGTGTATATATGTCCAGGCCACTCTCTCACTTTGTCACAGCTTACCCTTCCCCCTCACCATCAAGTCCGTTCTCTAGTAACGGGATGCATTTTACAAGGTCTGTATAAGCTACAGTTAAATAAAATCACAACACAAGTTTCTCTACTGGAGCATTTTGTAATCTCCTATTAGCTTCATCCCATCCTTCATTATGTTGACAACCAGGGTATCATCAAGGGAAGACAAAACCTGATACTTTGGTTTTTACCTCTAATTCAGAGTTATCTTCCCAGTGTTTTCCTAACTTCTTGTAAGTTCTTGACCTGCTGTGATATTCAACCCTCATCACTGAGGAATAAAGGGTCTGGGCTTCTCTTAACATTGGCATGAAAGTTCTGTCTCACGCTCAATAGATCAGATAGATGAATGCCAAAATTGCACAAAGACTTCCTATCAATTAGAGGAGATGTAAATTAAAACACATAAGACAGAAAGGGAAGCCTGGTTATCGTTAGGTATTTGATAAGAAAATGCAATCCAGAAAAACCAAAGGGAAACCATAAACAAATCACCTTAGCTCCAGGACCCTACAAGTTAAGTATCCTTACTTCAGAACTGTAAATTCCCCAAAATAAATTCCTAGTTACATGGATTGTGCTAATTTATGCCATAACTAAAAAGTTTATATTGTGGACCGATGAGGAATGTGCGTGAATCTGTATAAATTATAGATAATTTTAAGAAATTAACAGAGTTTAAAAAAATAGGCAAAGTTTCTAGGCCTCCTTTGTGAGATTTAGACTTATACAGTGTAGAAAGGAACAAAAACTTTATTTAGATGTTAGTTTATTTACTGTTGAATCTTAAATGTTGTATATTCAATTAGAAAATCCTTCAAGTCAGAAACCCTGGATTATTGGTAATTTTCTCAACATCTGAAACTCTATTACATGTAATGTTTACACCCAATAAAGTGTTTATGTTGAAATTCCTTGTTTGGAATTAAAGAGGTAACTAAAGAATTTTTTTTTTAATAAATAAATTTATTATATGTATACCAAATATATGTGTGTGTGTGTGTGTATATGCAGTATTTATGGATATGTGCTATACATGTATATAGTATATTCATTTATTCTGCTAAGGGAATATGATATATTAAAATGAATACAAGTGTATATAAAAATAATACTATTTTAGCTACCACTTTTGGCCCCTACTCCCTACTCTTTATGAGTCAGTATGGCTAATAAGTAAACGTTAGCCAAATTATCATTCACTACTGATATATTTGTTATTTAGCAATGAAATGCCTGGTGAGACAAGTAGCAGATAAAATGAGATAGCAGGTTAGGCTACTAAAAGATAATTGAGCCAATCATTATTGCATGTAATCCATATATTTTATGTATTATGCATACTGCATTACGTACGGAGAGTCTGTGCCTACACGTAGGTAATCCTTTAAGACAGGTTTGATTTATAGCTACCTTGCACATAATAAAAGGCATTTCATTTCTTTCAATTGAAGTGTAATTGATATATAACAGTATATTAGTTCCAGGTATACAACATAATGATTTGATATTTGCATACATTGTGAAATGTTTACTATAAAAGTCTAGTTACCGTCTGTCACCATCTGTCACCAAAACTACAGAACGCTTCACAGATTTGCATGTCATCCTAGATCAGGAGCCATGCTAATCTCTGTATGGTTCCAATTTTAATATATGTGCTACTGAAGCGAGAAAACATTTCATTTCTATATGAATACATTTTTAACCTGAATAATGATCTGAAGGAAGATCTAGACAATGATTCTGGTTTTAACTAGATTTATTTTTTATTTCTTTACCTTGGAGGTCAAGATATCTTTATGACAGAAGAACAGAAGAAATATTATAATGCAATGAAAAAGCTGGGATCCAAGAAACCACAAAAGCCAATACCTCGTCCGGGGGTAAAAAAAAAAATTATATTTAGCATGTAAATTTTAAAATTATTTTGAATTCATCTTTAATATATAATTATTTCTTAAACATGAATGCATATATTTTAATATTTTGAAGAAAAATTCTTATAAAACTGATACGTATTTTGAACACTATCACAGCTCGTAATATACCTTCATATAATTTCTTTTTCTATAAAAATGAAAAATAATTATATATGCTTTTTTTTTTTTTTTTTTTTGGTACGCGGGCCTCTCACTGTTGTGGCCTCTCCCGTTGTGGAGCACAGGCTCCGGACGCACAGGCTGAGCGGCCATGGCTCGTGGGCCCAGCCGCTCCGCAGCATGTGGGATCCTCCCGGACCGGGGCACGAACCCGTGTCCTCTGCATTGGCAGACAGACTCTTAACCACTGCACCACCAGGAAAGCCCCTATATATGCTTTTATCTCTACCTTAGCTATACAACTTACTATTAGTACAAATGGCCTGTAGAGAATCAAAATAAAATGTACTTTTGATTGAAATTTGATTTTCTTGATGGCTTTATGATGTAATGATGGATCTCTATCAGTCAGGTGAAATTAACCTTGTAGATCTCTGATATTACAACAAATAGCCAGAGAAGCAGTTGGACTGGTCATGAATCTAAACTTTATCTTACCATAGGGTCAAAGACCAGAATAGGCTCAGATGTAAATAGTGAGTCTTAGCAGTTAAAGAATAGTTTGTATTCCTCTAACAATTAAAATAATTTTAAATGCATTACATGTTTTTCCATTTCTTTTCAACATAACACACCTTACCAAAAGTTACCCAGCACTTTTTAAATGGACACATGGCCAGGTTTCACCCAGACCCTACTGAATCATAATGTATGAATTTAAAGCTCTGGTATTTAATTTTTTCAGTACACTACTTGACTTTGAATACAGTGCCTTAAAACTTGCCTATGCAACTAATAAAGTGATTTTGAAAATCAGTTTCCTAGAAAGCATAATACTGTCAGTGAGACTGACAAGAAAGGTGATGTGTTAAATATGGGTATGTTTGGAAATGTATATTCTATACATGGAAGAGATAGGAAAATATAGATCTGATATTATAGCAGTAATATCAGTACAAGACAGTGCCAACACATTAGTAAAAATAACGTGACAAAGTAGAAATTTAGAGATGTCATTTTATTACCTTGAAATACTCGAGGTAGTAGAGCTGAGGTTTTCTTAGTTAAACTTAACCTTGTGATCCTGGCAACTCCTATATAACATACTAGGGGTGGATATGCTTAAAAGCAAATGTTAGTTTACAAGGCTCGCTGAAGACTTGGTATACTGAAAGTCAACAGCAACAAAAAGTTTTCATGTACTCTAAGATTTAATAATATTTCTTGTACAAAGCAAGAACCTATGACCAGGGATAATTTATGCAAGTTTTGAAGACTGATACCTTAAAAAATTTTTTTTTACTAATGTAATGATTTATGGATACTACTTGCAAAATTTACTGTACATTTCCTATTATTTTTGTTTCTTTGCAGAACAAATTCCAAGGATGTATATTTGACCTAGTAACAAACCAAGCTTTTGATATCGCCATCATGGTTCTTATCTGCCTCAACATGGTAACCATGATGGTAGAAAAAGAGGGACAAAGTGCATACATGACTGAAGTTTTATATTGGATCAATGTAGTTTTTGTTATCCTTTTCACTGGAGAATGTGTGCTGAAACTGATCTCCCTCAGATGCTACTACTTCACTGTAGGATGGAACATTTTTGATTTTGTGGTTGTGATTCTCTCCATTGTAGGTAAGAGCATTTATTAATCAGATTTCCATTTTGAATCAAACTAAACATCACACATACTCAGAGAAGTTTCTGAATTCTGGAATGTAAACTTACTTTTGAGTAAGTTAGTAACACTGAAAGAGTGAAGGAACCTTAAAAACAAAACTAAAAAAAACAAATACCTCTGTGTCAGAATTCCTAGGTTCACACAACAAGCCTCAAAGCCACACATATTCTGTTTGTTGGAAGCACATAAAACTCCTTGATATTTGATTTCCAAGATTACCCTTCACAAAGGTAGCAGCTGGGTCTATAGGTAGGTAGGTCTTAGAAGACCAATGTAGAATCTGAAATCACTTCCGGTTTTTACACATATGAGAACTATCCTTTGATTAATGATAATATAACTAGCCAGAATATTGGTGACTCTTTGTGAACATTATTCCTGAACTCAAAGTAAAAAGTTAAGGTCTGAAGGAATGCCAGCTTCATTTCTTATGGCTTCATACTTGTCAAGTTTGTAATCATTTCTCAACCAACCCCAGTCATATCTGTGAATCACAGTATTTGATTTTATACTTCCTCTCATTTCATTACCATAGCTGTTTTTTCTATCCTATTTTTTTTTATTATTTGTACATGCCTTGCCCAGTAGTTTAGGATTGCATTTATTTTCATAATTATGAATTTTAGACAGAGATTGTAGAGATTATTTAATACAAACTCAATTTGGAGATACTGAAACAGGCAGGACAAGAAAGGTTAAAAGTCACATAACCTAAAACTGCCATATTGTGTAGTATAAGTTAGAATAGGGATTCAAAATCAATTTTTGAAAAAGGAGTATTATTACCAGAGTTGAGATTAAAGTTAATATATAAAAAACACAAATTAAAATTTAGTCAGGAATCACATACAACAAGCAAAATGGTGGAAGCATTCCAGTTAATTTAGGAAGAAGAAAAGTGTATCCCTCTATCACCTCTATTTGTAACAGTGTTGGCTGATACAATTAGATAAGAAAACAGAGAGGTACTTATATTTGAACAATGGAGCAAATTTTCATTTTCAAATCTTATTATGGCACTCTAAAAATGCAAGAGAATCAACTGAAAAATATGGATTCAATTAGAATTCAGAAGGTGCAAATTTTAAATTGTACATACCAATGTTAGTAATTGTTTTATATGTGGAGCAAAAAATTAGAAAATATGCCTAAAGAAAAATTTCATTCACAATTCCAATAAAAATAAAGTAAAATACCTAGTAACAACTTTAACAAGAAATGTATAAGGCTTCTATGAGGAAAACTAACAGAAACAAAAGAAGGTTTAAAATAATTGAAAGGCTTTTCTTGTACTTGGATAAGAAGGGTCTCCCTGTAATCGTGACCATTTTTTTAAGAGATTAATCTATAATTCCAGTGTTATCCCAATGAGAATATGAGCGTCTTTTTGTGTAGTGGGGATAATAAATTGGTGATATAAATCTAATGATTCTAAAGTTCACCTGGAAGAAAAATTAGAGTAATGAGGGGTGACTTACATTGCTAGATATTAAGATTATTATTACATTGATGAAGTAAAACAGTGTTTACTAAGAAGCTCAATGGATTCAAATGAATAATCCAAAATTAAACATCAGTATATAGAGAATTACTAAGTTACTCAGTTAAAAGATCTCATGGATCAAGATTTATTAATTGATGTGTAAAAATTAATGTATTAGAAAAATGGATTCTAGTAGAAATAGATTTATAACCATGAGTTTGAATAGTCCTTTCTATTCATGACAAACTTGACTCCATGAAGAAAATATAATAGATATGACTACATAAAAATCAAAATATTCTATGGAGGAAAACTCACTACCACCACCAAATTAAAAAAAAAAAAAGTTGAAAGACAAATTAAAAACAGGGCTATTGTTAATGTAACATTTAAGGCTAACAAAGGATTAGCACTTGTAATAGAAAAATAGTCCTCATAAATCAGTAAGAAAATAGTAAATCTCCCAGTAGAAAAATGGGCAAAGGACTAGACTAGGCCAAAAAGAGAAAGTTGAAAATAGTCAACAAATATACAAAATGTCCAATAAATAATAAAAAATTTTTGGATTATTTTTTCCCAAAAGAAATGCAAATAAACTATAATAATGAGATGTTTTAAACATCACAAAGTTTTTTGGTAAAATTATAAAGAAAAATGACAACACTGGTGAGCATGTGGAGTGTGAGCACTTTCATAGACTATCATTAGGAGTGTTAATTTGTACAGACTTTCTGGAGATAGACTTGCAATATATAACAAAATTTTAAATATACTGTTTGACCTACCTTCTTTTATTATCAAAATATGCCCATGGCCCATGAGCCATGGCCGCTGGGCCTGCGCGTCCGGAGCCTGTTCTCTGCAACGGGAGAGGCCACAACAGTGAGAGGCCCGCGCAAAAAAAAAAAAAAAAAAATGCCCATGCAACTAAAAGAAAATATACCTGCTTGGATATTTGTCTCAGCCAAAACAATTGGAAACAACATAAAATTCTTCAATATACGGTTATTTGGACAGAACATTATACAACTATAAGGAATTATTCTGTTGTCATTTATATGAAAATATGTCCATAACATATGATGAAGTAGCTAAAACAGATGACATAAAAAAGCTCCTATATCATGATTACATTTGTATATGTTTGTGTGCCTGCATAGAAAAATGGAGTGATCCTCAACAAAATATTAACAGTAGTAAATGGTTGGTTGATATTTCAGGTGATTTATATTTTCTTTTTAGCATTTTACTGTGTATCTTTAATTTTTCTACCCTTAACAATTAAAAAAATTGTTGTGGAGGAAAAAAATAAGATCTACGAACTTAGTAAGGGAGAGAAAATTTCACAATAGTAATTCTAACCATTTTCCTGTGGGATTGCTTGATCCTTGGGTTGTTATGAAATTGCTTGCAATGTAAAATGACAATCCTGAAATCATAAGAGGTAAGATGGCACATAAAACTATTTAGAGTCATGATTTTCTGTAGCATGGATATTTAAGTATTTTCTTTGTATTCCTTCCCTCTTCACCAGGTATGTTTCTAGCAGATTTGATAGAAAGGTATTTTGTGTCCCCTACCCTGTTCCGAGTGATCCGTCTTGCCAGGATTGGCCGAATCCTGCGTCTGATCAAAGGGGCCAAGGGGATCCGCACGCTGCTCTTTGCTTTGATGATGTCCCTTCCTGCGTTGTTTAACATCGGCCTCCTGCTCTTTCTGGTCATGTTCATTTACGCCATCTTTGGAATGTCCAACTTTGCCTACGTTAAAAAGGAAGCTGGAATTAATGACATGTTCAACTTTGAGACCTTTGGCAACAGCATGATCTGCCTGTTCCAGATTACCACCTCTGCTGGCTGGGATGGATTGCTAGCACCTATTCTCAACAGTGCACCACCTGATTGTGACCCCAGGAAAGTTCATCCTGGAAGCTCAGTTGAAGGAGACTGTGGGAACCCATCTGTGGGGATATTCTATTTTGTCAGTTACATCATCATATCATTCCTGGTCGTGGTGAACATGTACATCGCTGTCATCCTGGAGAACTTCAGTGTTGCCACTGAAGAGAGTACTGAGCCGCTGAGTGAGGACGACTTTGAGATGTTCTACGAGGTTTGGGAGAAGTTTGATCCCGATGCCACCCAATTTATAGAATATAGCAAACTCTCTGATTTTGCAGCTGTCCTGGATCCTCCTCTTCTCATAGCAAAACCAAACAAAGTCCAGCTCATTGCCATGGATCTGCCCATGGTCAGTGGGGACCGGATCCATTGTCTCGACATCTTATTTGCTTTTACAAAGCGTGTTTTGGGTGAAAGTGGAGAGATGGACTCTCTTCGTTCACAGATGGAAGAAAGGTTCATGTCTGCAAATCCTTCTAAAGTGTCCTATGAACCCATCACAACTACACTAAAACGAAAACAGGAAGATGTGTCTGCTACTGTCATTCAGCGTGCTTACAGACGTTATCGCTTACGGCAAAATGTCAAGAACATATCAAGTATATACATAAAAGATGGTGACAGAGATGATGATTTGCCCAATAAAGAAGATATGGTTTTTGATAACGTTAATGAGAACCCAAGTCCAGAAAAAACAGATGGAACTCCATCCACCATCTCTCCACCTTCATATGATAGTGTAACAAAACCAGACAAAGAGAAATATGAAAAAGACAAAACAGAAAAGGAGGACAAAGGAAAAGATGGCAAGGAAGGCAAAAAATAGAGCTTCACTTTGATGTATTGTTTACAGCCTGTGAAGGTGATATATTTGTGTTAATAAGGCTCTTTTAAGGAGGTCTATGCCAAAACTCTTTTTATCAAAATAGTCTCAAAGTCAGTGCAGTCGCTAGCTCTGATTCTCTAACATAGGTGAGCAGCATTAGCAGTGATTATTTTTGCATTGGTAAATGAATCTATAAGAATTCTTAAGAGTAACTGTACAGGGATTATTGATTACAGCAAACAGAGGTGATTTAATTTTATTTACTTTTAATAAATCAGAAGACCATGTAGAAAATGTTCACATCTGCCTTGTCATCTTTTCACAGGATTGTAAACATTCATGTTTCCCATGCAAATACAAATGCGCGCGCGTGCACGCGAATATCTATCATTTGGATATGTACAAAAGTATTTTCCCTTGGCTTTGCCATGAAGTGCCCTGATGGAAGGAATGAATACTAGTAATGAATGTTTAGTTAAAACATCTTGTTATTATTAGGAGGCAAGACTCTTTTATCCATCTACAGTGGTCATTCTATATTTTGAGGTGCTTAAATTTATTCATATTGCATCAAAACCAATTTATATGTGCCTATTAAATGCCATGGGATTAAAAACATGTAGGCTCGTCAGTTCAACAAATGCTTTTTATTCATCTTGACTCATATACCAACTAGGGTAAGAGTTACCTTTAGAGTATTGTGCTTCATAGACTGCCTTTTTCTATATCCTTCTTTGTTCATACAATAACTATGGAACATGAAAAAATTATTTTCGGTACGTATCACATCCCTCGAAAGAAAAAAATGAAGGTAATTGAGAAAAGAAGCAACTGAAGAAAGCTTTATTCACTCTTATGTATACAGTGTAACACTGGACTGTACTGCCCCAAAATACCAATAATAACCCAACTCTTAGTCATTTTTGTCACCGTTTTCTGCTTTCTGATTCAGTATTGTTGAGTTATGCTTTAGCACTAAGCAAAGTTGATATTTCTCTTCCGTGGAGTGCTTCCAGATATGCGGATAGATATTTGATACCATGGAACATGTTTGAGCAGATAATGACTTGGGCACAGTATTAACTGTGTCTCCTGAATACCATCCTAAGTGTGTATGGCATGCTTTCAACACAGACTTGTGTGTGAAAAGGATGAAATAGCATTCATCCTCTTGAACTTTTATGCTTTCATCTACAAAATGAGAAAGATGTCACTTTCTCCATAAAATTCTATGACTATGAGGTATATTATGTATCAATCAGTAACATATCCTGAGCTTATAGTTTACCAAGCACACATTCATTTTGCTTTAGCTGTTGTCCTTCCACCAAGGATTATGAATCTAGTTTTTTAAAAATCCTTGTTAATAGTGGCTTGAAAAGAAACAGCCATGATGTATTTTTTATGAGTTTATTCCAGGAATATGAGATCTTTCTTCTATCGAGTTATTCATGCACACACAAAAATCGAGTTACATAAGTAGAAAGAATTTTATTTAGAAGATTTTGTGGGAGTTTTCAAAGCAAATATATACAACAATATTTCATTTGCTTTCTTAAATGAAAAAAGAACATAAATATATTTCTATCTTAAGTACTTAAAGCAATTTTTTTGTTGTTCTGGCTAGTTAAAAATAAAGGAGATTTAAGCATACCTATAGAGATGAAGAAGTATAGGTAGAGAATGAGAGGCAGAGAGGCAAAGAAACACAGAAATGAGAAAGACAGATAAAAACCAAGAAAGCAAAATTTCCACAGAACTTTCTATCTAGAATGTTTTCAGCATCTGTGAAGGAGATTATCACGTCTAGACATTTGTCCTAAGGCACATATGAAATTAAACCTAGGGCCAAAGATTCTTTACACCTAAATTCAATCACTCATCTTACATTATTTGAGCCTCTTTTTTATTTAATATATAAGATACCATGCAGTGTTTTCCTAGACTATGTAGAGCATTGCATCACATCCCTGCTAAGTCTGTTGAAAATAGGTTTTGACAATTTAATTAGAGAACCATACAAAATATATTACATTTGTAAGATATTTTAATACATTAAATTAAGAAATTAATTACCTTAAATTTGAATGCAGTTTATCCTCATCATTTTAAATCTATATAAATATAACTGCACTTTGCATATTTATATAATACAGTGTGAAAAGATGTATAGTGGGTAAGTTTATTATGTGTGATTTACTACTAATGTTTTTACATTGCCTGATTTTTATGTGAAGAAAATATTGGCAACTGGTTCCTCAACACAATTTCTTCTTAGCGTTTCAAAAAAAGAAAAACTTACAAAGTCACACTTCTATTTCATGCTGAACCTATTTCATGCTGAACTATAATTTTTTTTCAATATAACATGCTTAGGTTTTGTATATGTATGTTTTCCCAGGAATGTCTAGTTGTGACTTTTTATCAATTACTAATAATATTTGGAACCAAGAGCTCATTTAATACAGTACAAGCTTGAAGGAAAATTAGACTTCTTTTTTCATGTAGATTACTGTTTGGTACTGATTATAAGATACCACCCTCAGAAAGCACTGTCATGCTAATATTTAAGTCACACAATCATTGAACTCATTTAACCTAATGATATAGAATAGCAGTTACACTGTAAAATTTAAATTGGAATAAAACTGAAAACAGATTTGAACACAAATCCATTCATACAATTTGAATAAAAGTGGGAGAATCTCACTTTACCTTTTTGACTGTTACATAGTTTGCAAAAGATATAAGTGATTTGTGGGCTGTTTCTAAATGCTGATTGTTGAAAACCTCAACCAAAAATGTTCAGCATGATTTCATAGAATTTTAATAGCTTTGTTAAAAAGAGTTAAGATAAAATGCATATGTAAATAAAGCAGTTCTAAATAGCAATTTCAGAGAAATGTTAGTGGGAGTGATGAAAAAGGGCCAGCTAAATTAGAAGGCCCAAGTAATTGGCTTGGGTTTAGGACCTATGTATAGAGGCCATCAATTTCTGTAAATATCTGTGGTTTATTATGTTATATTCTTGAGGAAAATAATCAAGAACTGCTTCATAAAATTCAGTGAATAGCCATGAATATAATAATCCTGTTTACATAGAATTCTTTACAAATTTCATATATCTATGAATGCTCAAAATGTTTGTCATAAATTATATTGTAGTTATACTTGAGGCTTACACATTGTAATAGAATCTAAAAATAAAAGTCATCAAAAAAATAAAATCATGTTGGCATGTATCTTCTGTTTTTGTGAAAATAATCTTTAAGGAGATCAATTCAGTGCCTCCCTAAATAAGTTGTAGCTACTGATAACTTTTTTCTTTTTATTGAAAAATGGACAGCTTCAAATGTCTTCCATGAGGAGTTTTCCAGGGTAAGAAAGATGGGGATAAAGACTATAGAATTCCAAAGGAATTCATTGAAATCTACAATAGAGTTTGTGCAGGAGAAGAAAATTGAGTCAGGAAGTGAAAATATACAAACATTTAGCCACACAATGACAGTGTGTATCTTTTTTGTGTGATAGTGTTGAGAGGTAAGATAGCATACATAATGGCGAGGGCTTGGGTTCTAGATCCAGAATTGTATTTGGATACCAGTTAAGCCAGGACTCTTCAAATTTCCTTAATACATTACTTAACATGTGCCTCAGCTTTCTCATCTGTAAAATGAAGATAATAGTACCACGCTGCCATATGGTTATAAGGGTAGAATGAGAAAATTCACATGAAGCAATTAGAACAGTGCCTGACAACACAGAATCAAGAATTTATATTACTAATAGTAGTTAGTGTGACAGTCACTTCGCTGCTAAAAGTATGAGCCCAAGCTACCTCTCCATCATACAGGAGCACAATGCAGTATCCATAAATGTTAAATGATGATATTTCTATTTTATATGGGTAAGTGTGAATATAGTATCCCAGAGAGTCTCATGCATCCAGTTGGTATGTAGTGAGCATTCAGTGCACCAAAATATTTTTAAATTGAACTATTTTTTTAGATTTATGAATGCAAACAACATGCTAAAATGAGAAAACATGCATACTGTATTTACAAAGGTTTAGCTTTTTCCAGGAGAGTATTTGAAGGTAGAAGTTCCCATATTAACTAAATAGTTAATCTAAACCTCTATTTTAGTTTAGCTGTGAGCATCCAGTCCTGTTATTTGTCTTTAAACAAGATATACTAAAAAGAATTGCTGCTGAGCTGGGCCACTATTTCTACCTTGTGTGTTAGTATAATGGCGTGTAGAAAGGTATAAAATATTCCTAGGGAATCTCTGTACTGGCAGTTGTGATAGTCACTCTGCAGAATAAAATTATAGTCCCTCAACAGTACCATCACCTCAACCTGATTGGCAATCACATGAAGTTCCTACAACAGAACAGCTCAATTCTTCCTTGCTGTAGATAACATTACACCATAATCCAGGCAAAATGAGCTGCAGAATACACGGTAATAATCTCTCTCAAGGGAGGGAAAAGTTGCATACTGATTAGAGCAGAGGAGACCTTTGCTGCAACAACATTTAATGCATACAGGAAGAGAAACATGAATAATTGAGAGCTATAAACAAGCAACAGAGCAAACATGCTACACTTTATTATTCTAAGAGTTGTATAATTAGGTACCTACATTAACAATTAATCCATCCCAGAAAAGAAAGCCAATTTTAAGAGATTTAGGTGGCATGTGTCATGTCTGTATCATGTGCTTTAACTTGATTCTCAAATATTTAATATATATTTTCATAAGCAGTTTAAAGGCAAAAACGTCGTAGATAAAACTATAGGCAATAAGTATATAGAAATGATTCAGAGCTTGTTAACAATTTTGAAAACCTAGTGGAATTGAGGAAAAATTACTCCTGTTCCAGATGCTATATTTGCTGGCAGGTGCTAGTTTTGATTGTAATTCATACAAGACAATATGACTTCTATTTAGTTAATTTCCACTAGGTGACTAGCAACACCTTGGGGTATCTTTATGGGCCTATCAAAATAATTAAAAGCAAAGACAAACCGTATTACGAAGTGAAAGAAACCAGTCTGAAACGGCAACATACCGTACAAACTAGCAGGTGACACCAATGGGAATACTTCAACGCAGAACAAACTGAGATTTCATAACCTTAGGGAATTTAAAATAAAATTGATTTTAACTGCATTAGACCCCTGGCAAAATTGAAAAGAGAACTACCAAAGAAAACCGCTGTAAAGTATTGAGGGAAAAGAACGCAATTCAAAGACAAGGTCTGGGAAAGACTCCTGACAAATTAAGACAACAAAAAAGTGAACTTTTCCAACCTTCCCCAAAACGTCACGCAAACCCCATCTACTTTTTGTCTTTCTGCAGTTTTAGAGCTGCTGACACCTTCACTTCCACCTCAGCCTATGGAAACAAATCCATGAATTAAAAGCTTTTGTGACTCCTAATTACTTTCAAGGGAGTCAAACTTAGCAAAATTCAGTTTATGTTCAAAAAGAGCTAAATGTCATAGGTGAATTGTTCATTCATTCAGTGAATATCTACTGAGCACCCTCAATCTGCCAGTCCCTGTTTCAGACAACGTAAAACAGACAAATCCCTTCCCTCGTGGAGATTTTGAGGAGAGACAAAAATGATGACAACTGAATGATTATAAATATCAGAGAGTAATATTATATTAATTTATCATTCATTATAAATCATGTACATATGAGTTAAATTATATTTTACTATTTCTTCTATTATTATGTTATATACTCTTTTCTTTTATGATACTTTGAAAGAGTATCAGGACATTCCACTCTCAAAAGCTTCATAATTTTGGTTCATAACTTAAAGACAGGGACTTGAGGTTGTGCAGATTCTTTTACTGCAAATTTTGTAACTGTAGAAATACTCTAGCCATTCATTCTAATAATTTATAAGCTGTTTGCCAGAGAAAATCACTCTGGAGCTAACTTTTCATCCCTAGTAGGTATTTTACTTCTCACTCCTACAAATAAGTGATTTAAAAATCAAGAATACAGAATAGTTATTTCACTTTGGCAGTTCAGGCCAAATATTTAATGAGAAAGGATTAAAATTTATAGTTAAAATGTGTGCTTCTGTTTGAAGCTAGGATACTACTATTGTCCCTGATGTTCTTCCCAATGCTGGAAATTAAGAACTAATTTTGTAATAAAATATGATGAATGAGACATAGGTATCAAAGCTCCACAGAAAACATATTTTTTTCTTAAAAATCCTGTGAAACTCACAACTACCAAACTTCTAAATATCAATATCTCCTTTTGACTCCCTTTAAGAAAACAGTAAAGATAGAATTTTCTTGTAATCTCCCTAAACAACTCAGCCTGTCTTGATATATTGGTTCTAGTTGATGCCTTCAATAAAATCAGCTCTGTTAAGAGAAGAATTGGGGGAAACAGAGGTGGGAAAAGAATTTCTCCATGCTTCATTTTCCTGCCTAATTTATTTTCTTGTATAAATTCATCTTTCCCTACCCATCTCATTTCGACCCACAAAGATTGAAAATTGGTTTAGAGTCATCTAATTTGGCCCTGACACTTGCAACTAAAAGAAAAGATGTTTATCTCTAAGGAATCACACAGTCTGTTTATTTGAGAGGTAAATGGGTTTGCCTCCTACAAACCTCGGCCAGAATACCAAGTGTAGAGCCGGGTTATGGGCAGAAAGTGATCTGGGAGGGAGCCAGGGAGAACAAAGGAAACGATCTACTTTAGCTTCATGATACTAAACGACAGACTATATGAGAAATCCGAAGAATGACTGCAGGCAAGAAGTGAATGTGGGTAAGCATATTTTTTTCCTTTGAAATAAAGCTGAAACTTCACTTAACTCTCGTGCCAAGAGCTATAACGGGCATGATTAGTTTGGTCTTAAGAAACCAATGCTGCTATAGAAAAGCAAAGCCCATTGACCTGAACAAAGCTAGGGAATCATTCTGGCAGCTTAAAATGGCAGGCGTTGGCATTTTTTCCCCATTGGCATTTCTTCCTGTCTCGTTATCTCCTTCAAGAGTAAGAGAACTCTCTTTTTCCTCCCCTGTATCTGTCATCTTCAGAGCTAAAACGAACAAAACAAATCTCTTCCTCTTTACAAGATCAATAAAGAAAATTAGACATGACTTTGAAAGCACTTAAAGAAGTCTAAGCTCTGCTTTTCAGAGTGCAATATCATCTTATGCCTTTAAGGATTGCCAAAAAATATAAATATACACAGCAGCAGCCTATTACATAATATCATGAGTTTAAATCTTTCTGTCACTTACTAACAGTGTGACTATAAACTTGAACAAGGTACTCTATTCTCTGAGCCTTCTTCATCTATAAGAGACTGGCACTCATTAGATCCAAAATACATAAATATGTGGTAGAAACTTAAAAGGGCAACAATTTATCATGCATTTTCTGAAGTATCTCTCAATTTAGGATTCAATAATAAATTCTATAAAATAATATTGAGCAACTACCGTATCTTGGAAGAATCAGTCCACAATGATAGTACGATGCTTTACTTCCATATTGTACCATGCGAACATGATGAAGACGAGTTAAATCTATCCAGGGTAGACTAGAGCTGAGTATTGAAAAGTGAGTAAGAGTTAGTTTTGAATGTGTTGAATTTGAGGTACTATAGGTCAAAGAAAAAAGTCCTGAAGGCAATTGAATATAATAGCCTGTAGTTCAATGAAGACATCAGGGTTAGAGACACATACCCAGGAGTCATTGCTTTGCAGGGATGATAGTATCTAAAGACAGACTAAGCGAACCAGGAAGAGCATATGCAGGCTGAGACGTGAAACAGAGAGTTTTAAGGAGAACCAAGAGAGTATTAAGAAAGAGAAAATGAGCAGCATTACACAATGCTGCAAAGTTGGCACACAATTAAAAGTATCAGTCATTTAGTGCAAAAAATTTTCGAGGAATAGTACATGCAAGAGCTATGTTGCACGAATCAATGAAAAGTATGTTAAGGCTTAATATGACCATTAAACACCTGTCACGAAATTCACCTTTCCAGCACATAGCAGAGTAGATAGTGCAAGAATAGAAACTTAAGGAGCCAAATTGAACATCCTCTTTCATGAAGTATATGCTTGCATTTTCTGCCTATATTTAAATTGGGCTTTCAGGACATCAGTGGATATGTCAGAGTAAGGACTTCTGAAAATCCAGTTCTCCATGAATGAACAGGAGCACAAGCAAAATTGTCAAAATCAACTTTTTCAGAACTTTGAAAA